CTTTTACTCTGTTTGAAGGTAATAAAGATGATTTAAATAAAGTTCTTTCAACAATGAATTCTATTGATCCTGCTATTCAGTTCACTTTTGAACTTGAGACTTGCAATTCTCTTCCGTTTCTCGACATTCTGGTCACACGTAACACATCCAACTTCAGTACTACTACGGTTTACCGTAAACCTTCATCGGTTTGCCTTCCACCACACTTTAAATCATGTCATCCGACTAAACAAAAGTTAGCTTCATTTTATTCCTATGTTTTCCGTGCTCTTCAAGTTTGCTCCTCCAAACTAGCCCTTGATGAAGAACTAAATTATTTAAAAGCAATAGCTATTGACAGGGGCTTTCCACCCAACATTATTAATCAAGCAGTTAAAAAATTCTCATCTCAACACACTAAAAGGCACACTCTTGTTTTAGGAGATTATAAAAATTCTGTTGTCATTCCCTTCTTTCCATCAATTAGCTATAAAGTTGCACATATTTTGCAGAAATTTAACTTTCGGGTTGTTGTTTATTCTCCCATCAATAAAATTCCGAGTTCCATACTCAAGGACCCCATTCCGGATATGAATTCCTGGGGTATTTATAGGATTCCTTGCCAGTGTGGTTTAATTTACATTGGCCAAACTAAGAGAGCCTTAAAATTTCGCGTCAAGGAACATGAGGCATATGTTAGAAAAAAGGAAACACAGAAGTCTTCTGTTGTTGCTCAACATTGTTGGTCCGAAAACCACACTTTCAGTTTTTTCTGCTGCCAAAATTATTCAAAAAACATCTTCCATTGGAGAACTGGATTTTCTAGAGGCATTTCACATTCATAAAAATCTTTCTGTCCTAGTTAACGATCCTAATTCCAATCCAAATTTGCCTTCGGCCTTTAAAGAAATTATGTTTTAGTTCTGGTTTTACCAACAGATGGCGCCACTTGCTTATTCTTGTCCTGGCTTTCTTATCTTATCTAATCATTATTTCCTATCTTGTTCATTTGCGGTTTTGCAGCTGAAGATGGTGGTTCGGTAAAACCATCGAAACTAGTCCTGTGAAAACTTTGTAAATATAACGCTGATTTTTGTTGTTTGACTTCTGAATTAGTACTTTATGATGTTGCATGTGTCATTATGTTGTTAGTCTTCATACTCCACTCTCAGTCGAATGATTTGCATAATCTAACCATCAGGTTCGAATTCGGTGAACAGTGATATCATGTTAAGGTTCAGTTGCAGTACAAGAAGGCTAACTGGAAGTTCTTTGGGTATCTAGAAGGCATTTTCATGATCATATTTTTATTGTGATACAGAAAAGGTATTTGCTTACTCTTAGGGCAATTTGAAATGCTAGATTACAGATAGTCCCCCCCCCCGATTTATCTTGCTTGTCATATAATAGTGTTGACAGGAAACTGAAAAAATTTGTTTTATTGCCTTCTGTAACCATGCTTCGAATTCAATGTACTGCATTTCCTGTGTAGAATAATCAGCAAAAACTGAAATCATAAATTAGTAACCAATTTTAATTTTACTTGTCCTAGAAAAAATAAGGAATCCAGATAATTGGAGAAGATATCTGGTCTCTGGGATAATCAAAATTCTATTATATTTCAAGATTGTGATATGTTAAAGGTGTGAGCCATATGTTCAAAAAAATATTATTTTGTCGCAGTGGAGCATGGTGCACTGGTATGCTGTTAAATATCACTTAATATTGCTTAATATCACATTATATGGTGATGAAATATGAAACTTCATTTCCATGAAAAGCCATGTTTCTTTGATAATATGGATTCTTGTGAAATTTTATTGAAACTGTTTTGTGATTGGCATAATGATTGACTTGAGGGGATAATGTTTGCATAAAATTATTTTTCTAAGTGAAAATGGCAATAGCAGAGGCCGATCAAATGTGTAAACAAGCATTTGTGGATAAAGCAATGGAGGTATACTTAAGCCTACAAGTTGTTTTCAATGGTTTAAATATAGAAGAATATCTTTTGACTATGATGAGTTTGTTTTAATTTTCTTTAAGCAGAATCACCTATGTGGATGTGGCAGGGATGTGAAAAAAAAAAGTCCATAAAATTGCCATTTAGCAATTAACTTTTATAAAGCCCTTGGTTTCTCATTCAAATCTTGTTGGTAAACTTTAATCAGTGAACTGGGTATGTTTCACATCGTGTCAAAATGTGTGCCTTATCTGATGACTGAACAAAAGGAACATAAAGTTCAAGTGTAAAAGCAGTTTAAGCAACTGTATGAAAGTAACCCAAATTACATTTCTGAGATTATTATTGGAGATTAAACACGCACACACACACACACACACACACACATATATATATATATATAGCTATGGCTCTGAAATTGTACATAAGAATTAGTCCAGCAATTGCAAACTGAATAGGCTTTTATACCATGTTTTGAATTTTCTCAAAAAAAAAAGGGGGGAAGCATCCGAGATGTCTTAAAACAATTTGAGTGTTCTGTGACAGTGTATTTGATTGTTCATTGCTCATTTTATCTAATTTGTTTTCCTTCTTCAAATATGACTATTGTTCTTCATAACCGTACGCAACCAGTGTAGCTCTATGCAGGTTTTTTGTACAGAAAAGGAAGCTTGAGAAAGGGATGGGAATATGTGAGGTAATAGACATGTTTAAGAAGATAATGCAGGATGAATATGAAGGAACTGACAAAAAATAACTTTCATGAATACTCCAAGTATTAAAATTGCAGTGGGACCAATTCATCAATGTAGTTTGAAACTGCTTCAAAGATTTAGTCTATGAAATTTAAATATATGTGTGTGCGATTTTTAATAAATTCTGGAAATTTTTGGATTGCACTTTGTAATGCTTAAAAAATTATTTAATGTTCTGTTAATAACCTGAGAAAAGCATTGGGTACATAATTGTTATTAACAGTATATTAAGAATATGTTGTTTATGTATGAACTGAGTTCCATCAATGTTCAAATACTAAGAGCCCTGAACAGTAGTACTTCATTTCAAGTTTAAAGCCCAGCAAATGGACTAGCTTCATGGAAGTTTTCATGGATTTGCCTATGTGTACAATGAATATGATCCAATTTAAATCCTTCATGAAGGTGTCTGTTTCCTGATGCAAATAGCCTTTATGTGCTTTGTCATATTCCAAATAATCTAAAACAATGCTATTCAATCTTTTCATTGTGTCAGTATTTTCTATATTGAAATTCATTCAGTACAAAGTCCGAAATCCGGCCGTCCATTATCCAGAATGATCTAAAACCCGCACCTTAAAACCACCAACAATGGGTTTTTTCGTAGGCTAACGCGTGCGCATTTGATTCCTCCCCTCCGCGCATAATAAAATATCTGAAGAGTCCCGATTCTTAATTTCACTTCGATACTAAATAAAGTACCTTGTTATTGAAGAAATAATCATTTTGGCATAAATTTGTACGATCAGTAATTTGGCTCCGTTGCTGTGTATCTGCTTTTGGCACACATCTCAAACCGAAACATTCCACATAGATACATCATTGATCTGACGCCAATGTGGCGAATCATTATTTATTATACTTTCCTTTCATAACCACATGTTTATCAAAACATGACAACTTGAGTAATGACTCATGTAGTGATGTCTAAAAAATAAGTTTATGTTAGTGATTTAATAAATGAGTATGGTAACTTTTTATGTTGACATTACGCTTGGCGATGGTTACAGATTTAAGTTAAATGCGCTAAAAAATGTTGCCAAGGAAACGTTTACCAAAAATTTCTTTCCATATGCTAAAAATAGATTCTGTTGATGATACCCATAGACCCAAAGATTACATTTAGTATATGTGGGAATTTATTTATTCAAAACTCTGATAAGCTTTAAGCATGTGCAAGAAATAGGCATCAGGATAATAAATAACTAAACTAATACAACGGGCTTAATTGTCTCAGTGCGCGATTGAAGCAAGATAAAAAAATTTAATGGAACAACCCGTCGCTAGGCGCCAAGCTCATGATGCATAGCCAAATATGTATAGTGAAGGATAGCTAAATTTGATGATGACAGCTGCTAATTTTAAAGGTTTTCGAATATCGCAAAACAAAGGTGAAATTTTCCAATTAATAGAACTTGTGGTTGGATCCTAGCAGAGCCCACATCTTTGGCATGCTCACTTATGTAGCACATATCGATGTGTACATGGACAAAGTCAAGGGAGTGTGCAATACTAAGTTTGTGCAATTCTCTGATTTTTTTTAAGTGAAAGTAGGTCGATGTATACATGGATACCGAGTTTGAGCAATTCTTTGACTTGTTATTTACAAGTTTGCGATTTTGAGAAACGCACGAAACAGTGGGTGATTCTGCACTTTCCCGGTTCATTGCCAAGGGTGGGCTCTCCTAGGATTGTACCGATTTTGTAAAGAATTGTGGAGAAGCAGTAATAAATGAAGATAATATAAAAGGAAGTTTTTCATTGTGATGGCAATGCTTTTCAATGATAAATCATTAATGAATGGCGAAATCTGCAGTATTGGTTCTAGATTCAAAAAATACCACTACCGATAGTGAAGAAAGTGACAGAGAAGTTACTGAAAACGAGAAAATTTCGATTGACAAGTTAGTCGGAATTTTCAAAACAGCATTTACAGGACTTAAAGATTATATCTGTTTACATAATTAAAGAGAAAGTATTAGCACAAAAAATGAAGCAACTTAAACAATTTACATTGAAAGAAATGCTTAATAAGGTAAACAAATATGAAGCTTTTTTTTTTTTTTTTTGTAAATTTTGATACCCCCTAGATCTTAAATACTTCATTATTTCATATTTTTAATTTTATAATTTTACATGGCATCTTACTAAATTTAAACTTCTGATCTAATATCGAGAATAATCCCAAATCTGGTATCGCCGAAGTCCCGACGAGTCCAGATTTTGGACTTTGTACTGTATTTCCTGTGTTTTTTCTTTTTATGTTATATTTTCTATAAACTTTTCATTTGCTATATTTTCAGTGATATTCGGTGGCCATATGCTTGGGGTAAAATCTATAAGTGGACTGGCCTTTTATGATTGGGAAAGTCTGGATTTGATACGTCGGATAGAGATACAACCAAAGCATGTATGTTAATTTGATATAGAAATTAAAATTTGTATTTTTTCATAGAATTCATGTGTATATAATGTATTTTCAGTTTTTTTCAGTTACCTATATATGTTTGGATTTAGGGGGGGCTAATCTGTGCCTGTTCAAATTAATACTTTTAAATTCAGTTGGTTTTAATGAAGGAAATGTTTGAAGTTCAATGACTAATATGTGTAATGTGATACTTGAGTACTCTTTATAATTGTTTTCGTCAATAGATTTGATAATATATGTGTATGATTTATTACTATTTGACTTATGGTAGATTGTGGGGGGGGCAGTGGGATGTGATGTTCTGTCTGAAATGCATATGTTTGGCTTTTAAGAGCAATACTAATATTGTTCATTAAGAGTATGTCAATTTAGGACAGACCCTCAGTGAGAAAATGAGAATTGATATGTAGAGCAAAAGTGATTGTCTGCATCTGAGATGACTGGTTATCATCTAAAGACAGCATTGCATCAAATAAACATTACCATTTGATGTTAGTGTCATTCAGATGTTTGCATTGAATGATAATGTGATTTGATGCAGTATTCAAATGACAGTTGAATAATATTACCATTCAGTATTGGTATGATGGATTATAGTGTTATACTGCATTTCATCAAGTTTAGAAGTAACCAACCAAAATGGGTATAACTATTGTCATAGTATCGTGAAATTATGCAACTCACTTGATACACATGGCCTAATGAAATGAGTATGTTCTTACATGTTTTGAACAGGTTGATGCATTTGTGTGTGCAGGAGGTTTTATAAAGCTATATCCATCCTGACAGTAAGGGGTGCAGGCTAGTGGTCTCTTTGTTGTATTATGTAGTGTGTTCTGTTAGATTACTATTTCATTGGAATTTTTAATACTGAATAACTTGTGCAAATGTCATTACAGACAATTTGTATCTGTTGATATGTTTCCTGTGATGATGGACTGTATAAAACATAATAATGCAACTCCATTATGCATGAGTGACATAGAACTGGCTTCCTGACCGTGAATCCCCACTGAGTGTATAAGAAACATTATACAGATCTCACTAAATGCCTTGTAGCGTCCAATAAACATGGCTGCTAATTGCCGTATAATATGCCTGGTTTGATGCATGTTCGTAAAAACTCCAATATCATTTTTACTTACTATCACATTAAATAGTTACAATTACTTGGGTGCACAGAGGAGATGTATTTGATCAATTAGGTGAAAACACATTCATGTTCTACATCTATGTTAAGATTTCTGTAAAATTCGAGCTTTTGTGGACAGTGTTATCTGCTTTGTCAACATGAATCCAAATGGTGTATCACTTTTCATTTGAATTTTCGGTTGGTCTTCCTTGGGATTTAAATTTCTGTAGCTTATCCACATATGGAGGACAAAATAATATGAACACCTGTGAAATAATGGAAAATCTTTATTAATAGGGACCCTTTGACACCCTTTGACTGAAGTACAGATTGAATGCGACGTGGGATAGATGCAAAAAGGTCATGGACAATATTTAAATGGATAATAAGCCATTCCTCCTACAGAGCGGTCTCTAATTCTGAAAGTCCGGATGGAGGTGGAAATCGGGAATGAAGTTTGGACTCCAAATATGCCCTTAAGTGTCAATAATATTCAAGTCCGGAGACTGAGGGGGCCACGCGAGATTTTCAATTGCATCTTCATGCTCTTTGAACCATTCTTGAATAACACGTCCAGTTGTCTGAAATAGGGTGAATGACGATTCATCTGACCATATTACTTGTTGCCACTGCTGTGGGGGTTACCATATTACTTGTTGCCACTGCAGAGATCGATCTCTGCACCATTGACGTCGCTTGAAAGCATTAGTTGCTGTCACCGAGGGTTTACGAATTGCCACTCTGTCATAAATGTTAACAGCATGAAGTTCCCTTTTGACAGTTTTTGTTGAAACAGGGTCCTGGAGATGACTGTTCATTTCCGATGTTATCTTGGATGACGATTGCTTGTGCTTTCAGGCTATTATGCTCTTCAAAGACCCATCTGTCCCTATTGTCCAGCTTTGACTTTCGGCCATTATTGTGCTTTGAAGAAGTCGACTTAGCCTCTTTCGTGTATGCTGTCATAAGGGCTGATACCCTACTCCTTGCAGACCCCACAAGGTTTGCCGTTTCCGTAATCGATGCTCCACTTGAACGCGCTCCAACTATCATTCCTCTTTGGAACTCTGACAGGTCTGACATATCAACTTCTCACAGACAGTTTGATCGAAGCATGCAACGCAGGTGACTGCTGTTGAGAGACAGAGACTGATACCTTCCTCTTCATGCTTACTAGGTGGCAGATTTCTGTTGCTGGTGGCACGGCTGTACTGCAGGTCTGAAATACGTCATACTGTTTCACAGGTTTTCGCATAATTTTGTCCTCCATCTGTATATTATCTGTTGCATAGTCATGTAGTATGTGATCTACTGCTGTTAATTTTTATGTGGCCCCAGTACAATTGGCTGTTTTAATTATTTCTATGTATGATTTTATTTCTTGCTGAAATATGAAAGCTAGTAAATTTTTTCTTGTTAAGCTATTATTGAATTATGAAACTTCTAAAATTTAAATTGGCTAATGTGAACAATAAGGGACATGCCTAATTTGATAATTTTCATCTTAGATAATGACTTTATCCTAGTAACTATTCTTTGTTGTTGTGTAATGATTTTATTTTGGCAACCTTAATGTGTTAATGTTAAAACCTTATGTTTTTTAAAGCTAGGGGTAATGTACTGTAAAATTAATATATTTAATATTTAATATGCATAATGCTGAGACTTTGATGCCGAGTTTGTGCAGTTCCCTGATTTTTTTAACATCATTATATGTATAGAGAAAAGAACAATAATGTGTGTAATGTTTAATGTAAGAAATGTGGAGGCTGTGCACCATACTGAATTTATGTTGTTCTCTGGTATTTTTTAAATGAAAACAGATCACTGCATACATGAGAAGAACAACAGTAATGTATCATAGTATATATAAAGCTTAATGTACATGTATGCAGTTCTTTGATTTTTTTAAAAACAGAAATGGATCTTTGCGTACATGAGGAGAAAAATTATAATGCATGTAATATATGCAATGTTTTATGTGCATAATGCTGAGAATGTATGGAATACCGAGTTTGTGCAAATTTTCTCCCTATATTTCAAGTGAAAAGGGACTCTTGCATACATGGGTGGAAACAATAGTACATATAAATTTTAGTAGCTTCATAATTCAGTAGTAAATTCATAAAATAAAAAATTCATTAACTTTCAAAATCAAACGTGAAAAAATGGTGAGAAAAAGAATGATTAAAGCAATAGCTGATTTTAGTGGCACCACGTAAAAAATGAATAAATAAATAACTAAAAGTGATAGATTGCATACTACGTGAATATCATCTGTGCTTTGCTTTCATTGTTGTTTAATTATGAGTATCGCCAATATAAAAGTGCAGCCAAATAATATTGTATATCGGATATAGACTATGAAATTTGCTATTTTTGTCAAGCAAAAGTGTTATGAAAATATGTGACAAATCCAGATGAATAGTAAAGTGGAAGAATAGATAATGTAATAACATAAAATGAATATGTAAAACCTAAATCCTTTTTACTTTAAGAAATTATATCCTATGATAGTGTAAGCATAGTATTTGCTTTGATACGTTTCTTTGGCACTTATTCATTCTGCAATCCATGATGAAGGTTGGGAGATACCATGCCAAACTTGCACTGATCATTCAGGCAGAAGTTTGTAGGAAGATTGCTCTTTATTTAATTAGATAATTAACAGCTACAAATTACAGATATAGCATATAAACAAAGTCAATATAAGCTCAAACTTGTTCCAGTCTTTCTGATGGACATGTAGAAGATGCAGACCACTTTTTATTTTGTTAGATAATGAAAAACAAGTTTTGGTACTTTCTGCATCAACAAGTCATGAATTCATGATTATTTTGTAGAGCATTCGTGAATTCATTACTGTCTAATTTTTTACCAAGGCAATGTTTGAAAAGCAACACCCATTTTGCAAATGGCAGTACACTAAGAATTCCATACCAGAGCAAAGATTTAATAAAATTTCAAAAGTAAGAAATTTTGGTGATAAAATGTATCTTTTTCAAGAAGTCCCTTTTTTGTGCTGTCCGTCCCTTGTACACTGTGATCAGTTTCCACTTGAGAAAAACATCAGAGACTTGTGCAAATTCAGCATCTCTACCTTCAAATTCAGCATCTCTACAACTTTTGTATGTACCTGAATGGCTACGTAAACCATGTAGAGTCATTAGGTTATTTTGAAGCAGATATGAAAAGTTTGGCGTGCCCACACTGGGATGCGAACCTTGGCCTCTCAAATATGCATAGATAATGCTTCCAATTACACCATGAAGGCATGCGGAAAGGAGGGGGAAAATACCTTATAACTAACTCTTTTTGGCAACATTGGGGGTTGCCAAATAAATATGTTTGCCAATGTATTGCTTTGCTTCATGAATACTTTTCCATGACTTTTTGATGGTTATATATGTATAATCAGAAAGTACCCAAGTTTTATATGTGGTATATTATATATATATATATTATAATATATAATATAAAGATTTGGGTTACAATAAATTGAGGTGAAGATGTCAGTGTGTTGACATCAGACTTGTGCATTATTGGCACTAAATCGCACTGTATGGTGACAGTTTTTGTCTAAAAATGTTGACTGGAAAATACAGTTTCTTCCTTTGAATAATAGCTCATATAAAAGCATGCCCCTTTCTTGTTTAATAGCACAAAAGTAATGAAAATATTTGAACTGATTTATCTCCTTGCTGTAAATAAATGTCCTTTTAAAATTAATTAAATTATGCAATTATAGATATATGTGTGTAAGATAAAAAATATGTAAATCAGCTCTGTAATTCAATTTCGAAATAGGCTTTTAATTTGGTATTTCTTCTCTCTATATCCCAAAACAATTCAAAACTTTTCTGGAGTGTACCATTTCTAGATTAATTTATGCTACAGAGCTTGTGTAATGCTCATGATGTAGCTAATTTGGAATTTGAAGGCACAATTTTGAGAATTGAAGCTTTCAAACCTAAACCAAAACTTTCTCTTGGTGACCTTCCATACTGGTTAAGTGCTCACCTTTAGTTTCTGTTTCTGTGCTGCTTGGACGCAGTTTTGCTGTGCTCTCTTCCTATCACAACAGTATCAAAAATGCAAATGTTCTGGAAATAAGCATGATTAGAGTGCCAAGTGAATTATGGCCACAAATGTCAATTCACCTAGAAATGAAGATTTAACCTGCCAAATTTGCCATTTATTACAGATTTGACATTTTGGCATACTGTATGCAATCAGTATTCTTCCTTTTCAATATGCTATTTATTTGCTTCACCATCAGTATTTCTGTGCTTCTACATCTCAGCGTTCCTACACCAGTATTTCTCTAAATTTTGTTTTCATCACACACAACTATTTGTGTGGGGAAGGTCTTGAGACTACTCGTTCATTGGAGGGGATATGATTTAAATTACTCTTTTGATCCTCGCATTTAAACTATAAGGACACATGCCATGTCTCCTATTTGTAAAATATGCACTATTACTGCACAAAACTGTTGTGCAGTAATAGTATTATGCACAAAACTGTTGAAAACTTTCAATTACTTTGAACTTATTATTAAAGTATTTGCCATAAAACCACTTATAAGTTGGTTTATTGCTCAATTTTCAGAATAAATACACAAGTAAAATTAGCATGTTTTGAAAGTATAAGGCATTTCTTTTTCTTCAGTTAAAAAAAAAAAAAAAATCACCAAACTTTACCATATTAGTTACAAAATAATTGAGTCATGTTTTATATAAAAGTAATTTCCTTGCTGTCAAGCAATCTGATGTTTATAACTATTCAGTAAATACATTCATATTTTTTAATATTAAGTTTTTTTACAAATTGGCAGTGATTTCTAGTTGTCTGTTACCTGTATCTTTTTATTAAAATAGTGTTACAGCCCTTTACATAGAGTATTTTTGTAATGAATTTGCTTTTTAAAAATTGAGTGAAATGTTGCTTTTCAGCTAGAAATCATAATTATTCATGGTATTCATATGGCACAGGTTTAGATTAAATCCTGATGTTTTATCATTTTGTACCAGTTATTAACCCCTTGGGTACGGATTTATTTGAGAAAATATTTTCTTGTGGAACGGATATTAGGTAATTCACTATATTTCTAATCTTTCTTATTCTGTCATCTTTATTTTCCTTTTCATTATCCGTAAAATGTAGAAAGCTTGAAATATCAAAAAACCTATCGCGTGGCATAGTGCTGGCAAAAATTGGAGTACTTATTGCATATCTTTTTGACCAATACATATGCATTTTGGCTTCTTTATTTGAGACATCAAGATGCATAATGCAATATAAGCTTTCATTTCATCAGAACTTGCAGGAAACCCACCTTTTTTTTTTTTTTTTTTTTTTTACATAACCTTCTTTTTTCTATCACTTGTCTAGCATATCTATTCGTCTCTTCTACTATAATGTCCCCAAAATCTTCATTCAAGATTTCTTTCAAAACATCTAAAGGCGTAGGATTACCACCTAGTCTACGCAGGCTCAAAGGATTAATTCCAGATATTTCAGAAAATTTTTTGTATCTGCAACATTTTCTTCTTCTTCCCAAATCCATTCATCTGATACCGGTTCACAAGAAGATTCACTATCACTGCTCGATGGACGTCTTGTGCGTCTTCGAAACCTTGATATTACAATTGTCATCATTTTCTAGTTCAATATCATCTTCATCACCTTCGCTTTGTATTTCATTGCAATTGTCAATTTCAGGATCACTAAACAATTCTTCTTTAGATTTCTCAAAGTCACTTTTGCTATCACTATCATAAAATATATTCCTTGTTTTTGACATAATGGGGCAGTTTATTGCAAATAATGTTCACGAAATACTGTAATTGCCTCTACTATTATGACTGATACAAGCTACAATGAAATGAACAGAACTGTGCCTAACCTCAAATAACGTTTTAGACACGTCATCCGCTTCTAGGAAAAACAAGTGAATGATATCTCTCAGACGTCAAATGTACCCAAGAGTTTAATTTTTGGTTTGACGTCTTAGACACATCTTCCGCTCTTAGGGAGGGGGAGTGAACGACGTGTCTCAGACGTCAAATGTACCCGAGGGGTTAAGCTTAAAAATTTCAGACTGCAAATTTTGTTAAATCATGTATGTTAAATTTACAAGTATATGTATGACTCTAAATTTCATGTTTGAGGGCAAATTTTTTGTGTATAAAATGATGAATTGTGGTGGTTTTAATTGAGGTAGATGTCAGCATATAAAGTAATATTTAAGTAATTAATTTTTTTTTCCCTCTTGATGGGAACTTATTGTTGAAAAAGAAGTAAATATAATTTTATATAGGTATATTGGTCAGAAAATGGAGAGCTTGTGTGCATTGCTACTGAAGACTCATTCTACATTCTTAAATATAATGCTGAAGCTGTAAGTAAAGCAAAACATTTTAAAACAACGATTTCTGAAGATGGCATAGAGGAAGCCTTTGATGTGAGTAGGTTTTCATAGAATAAATTGTTTTAATATTCTAACCATGAATTTCTTGTCTTCCTTCTGATGCTTTTCACATTCATGAATTATTTGACATGAGCTAATATTAAAATATTAAGTTTTTATTAAAGTGAAAAGAGTTGAAAAGACTTTAATGTTAACCTGCAGATTGGTTAAGATGTGACCTAATTCTTGGAAATATATTGAGGAAATATTTTAGCATCATAACTAAATCCTAGCAGATAATGAAATGATAGAATCTCGGAGAATGCATGGGTTTTTAATTGTATAATGTCTTTGGGACATATACTGGTGTACCAGGGTTCGTAGCGGTCCTTACAAGTGCTTATAAGTCCTTATATTTGAAAATAAAATATAAAGGCCCTTATAGGTGCTTACTTTTTCTTTAAAGCCGTTATTTTTTTTGTTTTTAGTGCTTATTTTTTGCTTTTAGTGCTTTTTTTTAATCCTTTGTTTTTAATGAATGCGCATTTTTTTCCCCGTACCAAAGCCCGAAACTAAAATAAACAATTTTCTTCCTTATATGCACGTCAGATGGGTGAATCATATTCTCGAAAATTGCTTTCCTTTCCCCCTTCCTCTGCCTTAACGTAACCTATGGTGCGCGCGAGAGTACAGACAGGGTGCACGTCGTTCTATTGGCCAAAGAATTGCGAAAACGTAGAAAATTCCGGTACATTCGGTATTCTTTTTCCTCCCACCCAATACTACAGACGTTTGAATTTCTATCCAGATTTTATTAAATTTGCATTCTCGTTCCGCGTGGTCAGTTCATATTCGTGTTTATTATGATCGTTATACTTATATTATGAGCATATGTGTGAATATTTATAATAATATAATTGCAGTAACTGCTGAAGTATAGATAAACTTCCAAAATGGGTGTGTTTTTACAGATTAGCTTTCTCAGGAATAATATTCGGAATGCCTTAAATAAAGGAAGTAATCGAATAGTCAAATAATTTCATTTTCTTTTCTTGCCAATACATTATACAGTACGGAGGTTGGGAGTTTCTCTCAAAATTCTAATATTGAAGCAGCGGACTTTTTTTCTGTCACTGTCCAATCTGGATTGAATAGGAGCAAAAGTTTTTGCGGTCTACCCAACCCAAGCGAAGATTGATTCTATTCCAGTCTGTTGAAAATTAGAATCAGAAACACCCCAGATTAGTAGGTCTCTTTCTTTTCTTTTGTTTAATTCTTTCTCCGAATACCCAGGACTATTTATCCCTGCGAATACCGGCAGGTGTTGATTCCGATTGCGTAATATCACATGGAAGAATTACGCCACACGTAGTGTGCAATAACGTTTTGCGGTATTTTGCATTGTTAATTAATTTTGATGTTCAGCCTGAGATTTGTTTATGAACACTTAAAAGAGTTTTACTTACTCTGTGCTTTCTAAGCAGATATTTTCTCAGTTCCGTTGGTTTTGTATGATGCACATATCAAAATGTCAAAATCATTTATTTAGCCTAATTTAAATCTAAAGAACGGCTACAATCTCCCCCCCCTCTTCTTTTTCCAGTTACTATCCGGAAAATTCGGGAATTTCCGAGTATGCTGGCTAGTTAGCTTTTAGCTTTTACTGTTAAAGGATGACTGAATGAAGCAATTTCCCGTCTTCTGATTTCAGAAATGTGCCTCATTTTTACTTAAATTATTACTTTGCTGGGATATATGTTAAGGGAAAACTGTTATGCAATGAAAATTTTGAAAATGTTCAGAATTTTTGATGTAAATTAAATTAATTTAAATGTTAATATGAGTGAAAAAAATAATTGTATTTATTATTAGGTGCCGAACGAATACAATTAATATAGCTTACTATTATTATTTTTCATATTTTCAACTGAAATATCATCATTAAATATTGTAATAAAGTTTAGTTCTGCATATTTTTTCCCCCTCTCATTGTAAACTAATTCTGTAAATTGAACTGTCATTTAAAATTTAAAAAAAAAGTTAATTGTTTTCCATTGTTGAGGTAATGCTCATTCTCTTAATAAATATTGCATTGCTCATATTTTAAATTACAAGTCTAAATTTTTCTTTTAAGGTTATGCAGTTGTGTATTTAATTAAAACAGGTGCTTATTTTTTTTCTTAAAATGTGCTTGAAAAGTGCTTATAGGTGCTTATTTTTTTAACTAAAATGTGGCTATGAACCCTCTGTACAAAAACTAGGTTGGTGGTAAGAACAGATGGGGTAAGAAGACACTTGGATCAGTGTTTCTCTGTCAGAATTGGGGTGGAGTTGAATACAACAGCTGGGCTCAACAGTTGATGAGCCAGCCTGTTATCTATGCAAAATTTGCTTGGTGTGAGTTCTGAGCAGTAGGGAGAATAATTAAACAATCTCATCAAAACTGTATGAGCAAAGTGTGTGTGAATGGCATTGTCTGGGCTGAAAATGTTGCCTGGAATCATCTTTGTCTATTGTTCTGAGTTGCCTTCAAAGTAAGGATTTTGCTGTGCACTTTCTCATTAATGGTTATACCTTTTACTATACTATTTGCTAGTAACACCTTGTTATGGTCCCAAAAGGACTAGCCTCTTATACAAGTAACTGATGTGGTTTAAGCTTCTTTGATATGTTCAAGTTTGTGTACATTTGCTGATTTGAATTTTCTTTGATTCTGCACTTTCTCAAGAAAGTGAACCCATGTTTCTCCTCCTATTATATTTTGGGGGAAAAAAAATTGAAAATCGTCATCTACATGCTATCACTGCTGATACTGCAATGTTGATCCTGTTTTCTGCATTTTTGTGTTCCTGTGTGAAAATTTGTTATTGACTTTGCTTAAAACGTGATAATCCAGCTTCACAATCATTATCTTATAATATTGTTCACCTGCTTTCAGCGTATAAAGACAGCTCTCATACTTTGAAGTGGCAACTTTTGCAAATCATTTTCTCAACTTATATGACAGTTATAACAAATTATCATTTTTGACTTTCGTCATGCACATTTAGTTGCATAGCTTTCATTCATTAAATTGTCTTCATCATGGCATTCGTTGTGCAGTGGATTTTGGATGTGCTCTGTTCTTGAGACTTTAGGAAGTATTGTGAATCTTGCATTTGTACCACAGCACTGTGTAGTTATAAGCAACATGTATTCGTACCAGCAAATTGGAAGCTAAATTTTATGTAGCCAATGGAAATTTATGGATTAAATTATCAATCAAAAAACTGCCCACTGCAGCTAAGAATTTTCGGACACCCTACACTTATAAGTCAGACACGAAGAGAACACTTTGCCAACTCCCCCACTAGAAAGAATGTAAGTTACTTAATACTTTTTCTGGCCTTTATATCTTCATGTACATTCACTGTTCTTATTATATATTATTTTTATATTGTCTTTGATTTGTTTTTACAAAGTTTGCATTATTTATCTTATTTTGTAATCTTCTATGTTTATTTCAATTTTACTTTGAATTCGATTTCATAATGACAATTTCCAATGTTTAATTTTTACAAATAATATAGTACTCAAATGCATAAACATGAAAAAGTGTCGGGGACGGTTACTTTACTCGGGTTATTAGGATTTCTCTACAGTAATTGCTTTTTTTACTCCAAATTGAATTGACTAAAATGCTTCATAAGAATAAGTTCTTTGAGTATCTATCAGCATTGGTTCATAATTCCTTCTATTCGCGGAAATATTTGGTCTGACTAGAATTGCCGTTTTGGCTTTAACTTATAACTCGAGTAAAGACGAAACACTTTCGTATTTACGTATTTTTATCAATTATTGTTCATTGAACGGGAGTTGGTTTGTTCCCCTTGAAAAGTCAACTAATTTCCGATCAATGACAATGATTACATGTTTTAATTTTTCCTTTTACAATTGAAATTTTATTCTTCATGATGATTTAACTCCAGTCCCCGTTAAAACATTATTAACATTTTGCTTTCAAATTACTTCAAAACATCTTTCAAAATATAACTTACCAGTATGGATTCACACTTTTAAAATAATTCTACTTTAATTAAACTTAGGAGATAATATAATCAATTAATCAATACTGTTTAGGAAATAAATTATTATTAACTAACTTTGCAGCAATTTTCGCAGTAGTAATAATAACTGTTTTCGCACTAAATGGATTTAAGATCATACAACATATAATATATATATATATATAATATAAAATATTTTTGTTTTGTGTGAAGATGTTATGCATAATTTATGGTCTCATTTATATCTTAACTCCTTTCTCGTAGGTCCTTGGTATGCACTTAGAAAGTGTGAAAACAGGCCTTTGGATTGGTGACTGTTTTATATATACGAATTCGGTAAACCGGTTGAATTATTATGTAGGAGGTGAAATAGTTACAATAGCTCATTTAGATAGGTTTGTATATTTTGAAATAACATGTCCAAATAATTGTCTTATATTTCTTAATGCTAATAAAATATATAAACTTTTAAACTATTTTTCAGATAAATGCCCTGCAGTCTCTCTCATATTTTTAATTATATATACATATACACACACACATACATTCATGCTGATATATGAAATTGATTTATTAGTAATAATGCACTATATGTTATGCATTTCTTCAATTCAGTTTTTTAATATTTTGAAGTAGTGAAAGTGAAAGCAGGTGAAAATATTGGGGAAAAAAACTAGTTGTTTAGAGTTTACTTTCATATATTGTGCCCAGAATGAAATTTGACAGTAAAAGTGTGATTTTTAAAGGTGTTTGTTATGATTTGATATTGCAGGAAGTCTTAATAGTTTACGCAATTCTGTATTGCCCACGTGTGGAACAATTTCATGTGGGCACATTTTTATTTGTATTTGTTTATACTTTGTATCTGTAAGGAATGTGCCATTCAGAGCAGGGTTGTTGACTAGAAAACTGGTTTGGCTTGCTAAGGACCATGACCTCAGCGGTCCAGAGTATTGGTTGTGTGAACTGAATAGTGGCTATGAGCCTAGGCCATGCTGCTTCACTTTTGTGACAGAACCGACCACTAGAATTCCTTAATAATGACATTGAATTCCAGCAACAACAATAAAAGTTAGTTGCTAGGCTTTGTAGAATGGCAGCTACCATCACAGCACCAGATGGATTTCTTACGTATCAGCAGGATCATTACAAAGTGTGTGGATACTTTAATTGTATAGTAAATGTAGAACCTTGTCTCAATAAATTTATCTGTGTTTTTTCTGTGGACTGGAGCTTCACCATTATGAAACCTGCACCCTCAATCTTAGCTGTTGATTTTATTATTTTTATCGGAAAATCTGGCAGGTTGGGTTCTTTCTTGCAATCTGTTGGATATCTTCGATTATCTTTTACACAGCAGAGGTGAAGAGAGTTTTTAGCTCTTTTTCGGTAAAAATAGAATGTAGGAGGAAAAATTTCACGGTGAGAAAAGGAATTGTAAAGAATTTATTGCTGAGTACTGGTTGGTTTATATCAGCAGTAGTTGCTAACTTATTTCATGGTCGTAAGTTCAGGAGTTTTATTGTCGTACTTTTTTTTCTCTCATTTGTGGATTAGAAAAATGCAAAATATAATTCAGCTCAGAATATTTCTAAAGGACAAAAAGTTTACAAATAAGTACAAAATTAGTCTGTTGCTTAATAGGGATTTTTGGGGGTAATTATCAGTGTTAGTTTCTTTGGTATAGAATTTGTATGCCTCAGCTAAGGTGGAACACCAATGCATTGATTTAAAAAACTATGAAGGGAAGGTGCAAATAAAATGAAATATTTCATTAATATTATCTGTGAATTCTGTTTTCACATAAAATTGTTTTACGAATTTTGACCTGAGTTTTATTTTGAGGAGAAATATCTGGAATTACTCGAATTCTAAAAGTACTGTCTTTAACAGAGGTAGAGGAAAATTTAGTAATTTTTTTTTTCTTGAAGCTGAATGCTGTAGTCATTAAAAGCTTTCTTTATGTAGCTCATCAAGTAAACCAACCAGTTTTGACTTTAAAGTGCATTAGGCAGTGTTTGTCCATCATGCTTTGTTCCCTCATAGGTTATCTTTTTAGGCATCTGGAATTATTTTCTGGGTTAGCATGTAGACAGCCAGTCTGTTTATCAATCCATTTTTACCTTTCCTGCTGAATTAAGTATTGTCTTATTGTGATTATTGGCTAATAATATGCACTCTAAGTATATTGTTTGAAAAGTATATTATTCTGAACAGATTTTCATTTACCTAATCTGTAGGACTTCACTCCTTGTTCTTGTAGATTTGGATATGGCAGGGGTTTTCAACCGGTGGTACGCAAAAGAAAAATAGGTGGTACACAAAGAAGCAAAGTATTTTTAACTATTACTCTAAAAAATTAAAACCTCAACCTCCTGATTGAGTTTTTTCTCTAACGTGTATAATTTGTGCTTTGTACAAGAGTGGTGGTGGTAGTAATACTTTGTAGTGGTGGTACTAAAGATTTTCAATTTTTGTTTAGATGATATGCATTAGTCAAAGGTTGAAGACCTCTGGCATGTGGCATTTACAATGCATGCATTTTCATTTGCACCAACCCAGTAGTAGTAATAAATATGCATTTTAGAAAAAGTAATTTCATTTTTCAGATGTCCTGTGTATGTTTTGCTTTTTTTATGACATATTTTTGAGAAAACAAAGTATTCGAGTATTTTTACATTAAAGGTTCAAGACTAAATGAAATGACTGAAATACTCTGGAAAGATGACTATCATAGACAGATAAATACATGCAATTGTGCTAAATATTTTGCATCTCTTAATGTGTTAGTATCCTTATAAGGTATATCTCGCCGCCTTTGTGGTGTGGTGGTTTTCACGCTGGGCGTGTATTCTAGAGGTCTGTGGTTCAATTCCCGGCAAAGGTGTTGCAAATTTTTCAATCTCTTGCCTGCTTCCAAAAATACGTAATGTCTACATTGGTACACGAACTAAAAGGGTGTTGGATGATGATTCTCCACATCCATGATTTGGTGACTGGGTCCCCTAAAAACCCATCACCCTTTAAAAGGGGGTGTATATAAGGTACTTCTCCCGCCTTCGTGTTGTGGGGGTCTGCACGCTGGGCGCGTATTCCAGAGGTCCGATTCCCGGCGAAGGCATTGTAAATTTTTCAATCTCTCTTGCCTGCTTCCAAAAATACCTAATGTTTCTACATCCTTAGTAGCAACTGTAAGCACAAATGCTGTTATTTCATCTATAGTTGCAATTGCTTTTACAGAGAGTACTTTCACCTCAGGGCTAAGGGAAAGTATGTGAAGTCTGCATCACAATTAGGCACAGCATAACCAATAATCTTCACAGCATACATGAGAATGATTTATATTCCATAGATCCCTGAACAAAATTCTGTTTTCTAGGTAGCAGCTCAAGCAGCCATGCAGTGCATAGCTGAATATAATGTAAAAATTGTATTGAATTGCTAGCTCCCTGAGAGAGGTCTTCGGTTTTTGGAAGCAGAAGCACTAATAGCTCACTTACTGCATACCACATAGTTTTTGGTGACAATAAATGTTGAATTCTGCACACAAGCATTCATTCACTTCATGCTATTACTCTTCATGCAGTGATACGCAAAAAGCTCTACAGAAACTGCAGTATCTCAAGATTTTAGATGGCGACAATCTGATTATTGAAGGAGATGCTAATCCTTAAAATCCAGTTTAGGGCAGTAGGGAATTCTGGAACAAGAGATAACAGAGTGGTGCAATTTCTGCAGTTTATAGTTGCAAAATGGCTTATCTTCTTGAATGCCAGAATTCTCCCCAACGTTTTTCACTACAGTTACAGGAGGCCATCCAGTTTTCACTGTGATTTCTTGACATAGCTATATGAACAAATGATTGCAAAGTAATCAGCACCGAAACAAGTGAACAGAAATGCATCACATTTAGATGATTTTAATAGGCAGAAGTAGTTCATGATCTCCTATACAAAACACACACACACACACAAAAAGGGATGTCAGAAAATTGCACAGTTACATGTTACAGCCTGAATCTCATTTCAGAACTGCATTTTGTCATGCAATTCAAATTCAGTAACAGAGGAGTTACTGGCCACCTTAACAGCAGGCTGCAATGCAGCTTATAAAAATAGAAAGGTAGCAATAATTGCACCTTTATGGTGGAATGACAAAGAAGTAGGCAATGAGGAGGCACTTTAAAGTATGTAGAATTTTAGAATAGCATTTCTGATCATAAAATTCTCCATTCAAAACTACACTCTAAACATAGCAGCTTTCTGTGTCTATCTTAAGAGTGCAAATAATGGAACAAATTATGAGCATCTGTTCTCCAAAGATAGTGTCTCAACAGACTATGCACTACTTTCTAAAATTAGGAAAAGAAGCTGTGGCTATTGCTAATGTTCTGTCTGCCTTCAGCAGGAAATCTCCTATGACAGCCAAAGTTATAAAACTACTCAATACAAACAACTTTGTTAAGTTCAGATGGTCTGGACATAATTGAACTGCTTAGAACCTTCCTGCAAGTTTCTTGCATTTTTCTCAATAATTATTGGGAGCAGGGTTGTATTCCAGGGTTCCTGCAAGAACTTGATGTTCTTTTTCTTCAGAGGAGTACTTATCACAGTGGTACCTATTCCATACTAACTGGTATGTCTTCTTTCCTTACTGTGAAAAATCCTAGAAAAAATAGCTCTGGGTAGGCTGTATCATTCTCTGTACTGAGGATAGCTCCTTCAATATACACAATTATGGATTCAGAGAGGGTATTCGTGAGTAGGACCTAAGTAACATCAAAGACATTTGTATGAGGCAACTGGAAGCAGCAAGTGTACAAAGCTATTATAGCAATAAAAGGTACATTTGACAATGAATGGTGGTCTGACATCATAGTATCTTGCAATTACTTGGATTGAGCTCCTACGTGATTAAGTTAATCTACAACTACTTTTACAAAAAAGACACTAATCATCACCATAAATAGTGAAATTTTTAACCATGATACTGACAGAGTTTGCTTGCAGTAATCATGTGCAAGCCCAAGCCTATAAAATGTAGTACAGTCAAAAGTCGTTAATTCGGACACCCATAATTCGAAATGATCTATAATCCGGACCTCAAAGCTAAAAACTTTCTGCGCATACACCGTGTTGACACATGCGCATAGGCGTTTACACGTGCGCATAAGACCTCTTACGACTGCGCATATGAGTGTGCGCAAGCGCAGAATATGTTTTCGCGTGCGCGTTTTATGTATAACGGACGGTATAAAGCTAAAATTATCTAATTATCAATTTCAGTTAATGTTGATGATTGCGTTGTTCCTTAATTTTCGAATTGGATTCGGCTTATTATTTTTTGCAGACTGTAAGAGCAGTACTATAAAAGTAAACTTGAACTTTCGATTATGTCAAATAGAATTTCCGATTCTGGAGCTCCCAAAGGATCGTACAAAACGAAAGTATGTTTCGATGTTCATCAAACAAAAAGTGGAATTGCTGCAAAAAATGGATAAAGACATGAAGGATGTGACAGAGAGGTTAGTGAAAACGAAAAAATTTCGATTGACAAGTTAGTCGGTATTCTCAGCACAGCAAATAACGGGACTTGAACAGCGGAACTTTGTAACTGAACAAGAAATTTTGTCTGTTTATAGAATTAAAGAGAAAGTATTATCACATCAAACAAAGCAACTTACATTGAAAGAAATGTTTAATAAAGTAAACAAAAATAAATATTAAGCTTTTTTTTTTTTTTTTGTAAATTTTGATACCCTTTAGATCATAAATTGTTCTTTATTTCATAAATTACGGTTTCATATTTTTAATTTTAGAATTTCTGCATGCCATCTTACGAGATTTAAACTGATGATCTATGATCCGGAAAAATCGATGAAATCCTGACGAGTCCGGATTAACGACTTTTGACTGTAATAAACTCAACACTGGAAAAATAAGGAATTTTGCCTTGGACGTTCAAGTATGCTGAGGACTTCCTAGTGGCCTGTTGCAACCACCAGAGACGTACTGGAAAATAATTTAGATACAACAGTAGCTCATCTTGTGAATTGTCACCAGCGAAAGTAACAGCTACAACATGAAAACTGGTAGCTATTATGCTTTGTAAATCTGAGTGTCTGTATGCAGTTCCTGCTTCAGAATTAGCAGTCAATAAAAATATCAAAGTATATAGGAATTAGATAAATATCTAGTTACTACCTAGTAACTCTCAAACTTGTGGAACTTTGTCAGAACATTTAAAGGTTTTTTACAACACAGCTCTGTTGCAGAGTATCCACACCTGGGGCACCTCCATTCAATCTCTTCAAATACAGAAATGAGGAGGACTATCCTGTTATTTACTTGAGCATACCAAATAACATCCATAAAAGCCATTACTAAATCTAACTGGTTTAAAACCACGTACCTGGTCATAGTAGCTAATGCCCTGCACATAAATTGCTAACATAACAGTAGCTAATGCCCTGCACATCCACAACGATGCAGAAATGTGCTATAGTAGAATTATAAGCAGAAATGCTGAAAAACTAATTCTGTTTTCCCCATATTCATCCAGTACTGTACAATTATGTGAACTTTGCGTATTCTTCCACGAGTTAAGTCGTTGAGGTCAGCATCCTTACAGATTTACTCTTAAGGCAAACAATGTAACAGCTAGCCCCTTCTGCATAACAGAAGACTGAATTATTTTTGGGAAATTCATCAAACTCGGGCAAGTTATTTTAGTGGTTCATATTGAATTGTGTACTATTAAAATTGCAGTTAGGCTGGTCCCTGACAAACTATTCCACAATCTGTATATATATAAATAGCCAATCATTTATACTAGCGATCAGTGGAGGTGCATCAAATATTCTTAGATTTAATTTTAGTACTTTATTCTCTCATTTCAAAGGAATGATTATGCTTCATTGGATTAAGATATGCATAAAGCAATATCTTCTGCCATCAATTTGCTTAAGTAGCTATAATGTATGCAGGCATACTTTAAATTTACATTTCAAACCCAACCACTTCCCATAAACATAGCTTACATTAAAAACACAGTGACCTACAACATGGGCCAAATGTAATTATCTAGCGACCTACAACATGGCCAAATGTATTATCTGGCAACCGAAGTATGCATGTATGCACAGCATATGTGTTACAGTACATGTGGAGTTCCATCTTCCAAAATTGAGTCATTTTTCCCATTTATTGTTTTTGCACCGAGAACATTTTTTTCTTTGTGAAACAAATCATAATAGGACTGGGGAGTTTGCTGGTTAATGAAAAAGGGGCTGAAATTCTTCCGAAATTTCTCTTTGTCCAGCAGTAGAGTATGAAAAATTTCAAATTCCATGAAGAGTACTTCTTTAATGATCACATTTTGTGGAAATGCAATGCGTAAAATTGCAAGTAAAGTCTTAGAATAAGGAATGCCGAATTGGTGCAATTCTCTGATGTTTTTTAAGTGAAAAGAGATTGCTTTGTGTATGAGAGAACAACAGTGTACTCAATATTTATCTTATTAGCTAGCATTATATATAAATCATAGAAGTTAAATATCTGCTTGGTTGAGTGGACTGATGTCCATTATAATAATCAGGTTTCTTTTAATATGTATGGGGTCTTTCATATAGCTTACCACAGTAGTATGCTTAAAGGAGCTGCTTGCTGCATATTTAGTATCTGTATTTTTTTGCGAGTTCTAATATGCTTATAACCAAACTATCATTTCTAGCAATTTATGATACTAATTGGTTAATTGTTTGATTGAGTATATTTTGTTATAAAGTTCTCTTTTGTGTATGTTAGTTTCCATAGTTCACCAATGTAGCTCACTTTTATTTTTGAATATTATAACCAATACTCTGTTTGGTTCTCAATAACATTTAGTGGAATCTTTGTGTTATATTACTTTGCTCTAATATGCTTCAATGCAGCCTTTAGTTATTCCTCCACTGGGATAAAGCTGCAGTCTACTTTGGCAGGCTAGCTGTCTCACCAGGGATGTTAAGTAAATCTCTTCAGTGACATTCAAATATTTTGCGCAGGGTTGATAACAGGAGGAAAGCAGAACTTGATTCCTATAGCTTATAAGGACTAAATTTGAAAATGTGTGAATGGTTCATGGGAACATGAAAATTTCAAAGGTAATAACTTATAAAAGAGTTTTAAGGGGATAAATTTCCTGGAATACACATTGTTTTAATCCTAATTTAATCTGGTAATATGCTGAAATTGGGATGGGAGTATGTTAAGAAAACTAGGAATTCATTAATATTTTGATTTAATATTGCAAACAGAATAGTTAATCATCTAATTTAATGGTGTCTTGTTCGATTCTCGTAGCTTTCAGATCTCTATCACTAATTTAGTTTGCTTTTTAATTTTGAAAGTATTTGTAAGTAATATAAATTGACCCTTTTCTTGCTGGTTACTCAGAAAATTTAAAATTGTTTGTTTTAAATATGTATGTCGAATTAAAAAAATATTAAGTCTGTCTTTATAAGATTGAACCTTCATTTGTTAATCGTGGTAGCCTATAAGAATTAAGGCAAATATAGTCTTTGAAAAAAAAAAATAATAAATTTCCCCCTATTGTGATTTTTGATTGCATTTATTCATAACTTAGTCTGCATTTTTTCCCCCTTTAGAGTTATGTATTTACTTGGTTACATACCAAAAGACAGCAGATTATATCTTGGTGATAAAGAATTAAATGTTGTATCTTACTCTCTTCTCCTTCCTGTTTTGGAATATCAGACTGCAGTTATGAGAGGGGATTTTGAAACTGCTCATAGTGTTCTACCTTCAGTTCCATATGAACAGCGAACTCGGGTTGCTCACTTTTTAGAAAAGCAGGTAAAAATAACCAAATTTGTTTATTAATTAATGAAAATTCCAATAATTTAAAAATATTAAGCATATTAATGAAAAATACTTGTAGATGTGTATATGAAATGTTGCATTGTTATGCACTTAATGTCTGTAGAATTGAGTTTGAAATGATCGGCAATATTGTTTTTAAAATTGAATCTGATATCTGTAGAATATTTCATATTATATTTGTTTTTAAGGGTTTCAAATCTCAAGCATTAGTTGTGTCAACTGATCCGGATCATAAGTTTGAACTAGCTCTCCAACTTGGAAATCTGAAAGTAGCATACATGCTTGCAAAAGATGCTATGGTAAGTAGGTTCAGCCATAATATTATCACATTTTGTTGCTACATTTTTATTTAATAAGTATTACCGTGCTCTCCTGTTGAAAATATTTATCGTCATATGAAGAAGTTACATAATTTTGTTCTAATTAATATGGCAGGTTTTCTTGTACCAGATGATGTATGTGTTTTAACTTCCAAAATTTCTACAAGCACTCACTGCATATTGCTTGAGAATCCTGCATTGTTAAAAATAATAGGAATTCTGGAAATAGAATTTTCTTTCTTCCTGAACAAGGTACAGTGCAAAATATTTATGCACAAAAATCCTACAGTGTAAAATGTTTCCAATTTATTAACATATTCTCACAAGTCTACTTTGTTTTTTAATCACAAAGTTTAGGAAGTGAATGAGGATGAGGTTTTTTGTTTTTTGTTCTTTTTTTTAAGACTGAAGACTTAAAGATAAGAGAAGGCTGTAATAGTAATGCATGAAGTTGCATAAATGTAATTTAATCGGAGAATAACATGCAGTAAGATATTTTTAATATTATCTAATGTAATATAATGAGGGCTGTGCACTAATTTATACATGTGAAACTCATTCTCTCAATTCCATGAGAGTTTGTTTTAATCAGACTTTAAAAAATTTTTAATTAAAAAAAATTGCATAAGTAATTAAACATTGGTAAGAGTCTTGCTTGAATTTTTGTTCTTATAGTTCAAATTACTGTGGAAAAATCTACAGTAAAAAGTCTTTAATCCGGATGTCCATAATCCGGAATAATCTGTAATCAGGACCTCAAAGCTACAAACTTTCTGTGCATGCATAAATGCATAATGCATTTACGCATGTGCATAATACGTTATGTATATCGGACGGTATAAGCTAGGCTAAAATTATCTAATTATCTATTTCAGTTAATGTTGCAGATTGCGTTGTTCCTTAATCTGCTAATTAGATCCGGCTTATTATTTTTTGCAGACTGTTAGAGCAATTTTATAAAAGTAAGCCTGAACTTTCGATTATGTCAAAGAATTTCCGATTCTGGAGCTGCCATAGGATCTACAAAGCGAAAGCATGTTTCGATGTCCATCAAACAAAAAGTGAAATTGCTAGGTCCTGATTATAGATCATTCTGGATTACGGAAGTACACATTAAAGACTTTAAACTGTATAAAATTTATCACTACTTTGGTACAATTTGGTGATTTTTATTCAAGAATGATGATTAATAACTTTATAGGCACATACACATATCATTATGTGTATATTTTAATAATGTATGTGGTTGGTTTTGAAGTGAGGGAAAAAACACAGTAAGGACTTTGAATTAATGTAAATAATGTTAAAGTTCTATTCAAAAATAGTGTTTCACGATACATTTCAAAGTTGAAAGTTAACAAATATAATTTCTTTTTTGCAATGAATTTCTAATTTTTCATAGATAATTTGGCACCTCTCCTTTGTAATATGGTGGCATGGTATATATCCTTGAATTGACATGACTCTGTTTCCTTAAACATAACCTTTATTCACACACACCATAACTTTAAACACAACTGAAATAACAGAACGAATAACAAAATCTACTAAACTAAAATTCAAACATCCTATGCTGCAGCTAAGGGCGAAGTGAGCGAGTTCACTGCCGCGCTAGCAGTTTTTACATAAACCACATGACGTGGATTGGCTGCGCACACAGTCGAACATTAGATTGCCACAGTAACTTAACTGAGGTGAGTACCTCATTTGCCCTTACTCTGGAACATGCCATAGTAAGAAGTATTTGCTACTCTGGTTGATATGTTGTATGTCTGGGTGCATATGATTCGCAATAGAACTAAAAAATTTTATCTATACATGTGTCATTTTGTATTTTCTCTCCTTGCAGTCTGAGCAGAAATGGAAGCAGCTGGCAGAGCTGGCAATGTCCAAATGTGAATTTCAACTAGCTGAGGAATGTTTGCATTATGCTAAAGATTATGGCGGACTGTTATTGCTTGCCACATCATCAGGAAATGCAAGCATGGTTGAAAAATTAGGACAGAGTGCAGAATTGAGTGGAATCAACAATGTTGCTTTCATATCATATTTCTTACTTGGAAAGTAAGTTTTATTAAGTATTTCTAAGTATTAATTTATACTTCAAGTGAATGATACTTTTTTCTAGTTATCTGTAGAATGAAGTTTGTGTGTATATTAGATGGTATTTTAATTTGTGATTTAGTCTCTGGTCTGAAATTTGTAACCTAATTGTGAGTTCTGCAATGTAGCTTTTAAACTGTTGTATTATTTTTCTGTTTAAAGCAATATCAAGTACCTGCATTGTATCTCTGGTCTGAAATTTGTAACCTAATTGTGAGTTCTGCATTGTAGCTTTTAAACTGTTGTATTATTTTTTTGTTTAAAGCAATATCAAGTACCTGCATTGTATTTATTTTGAACCCTGCATAATTCAGCGTTCTGACTTGCAATCGGTTCATTAACAGCTAAGCAGTGGTACTGCTGAATGCTGTTACTTCATGCCAGATTCAAATCCAAGTGAATGAACTGGCTGCATGGTTGGTTTTTCCCACTTTCAATGGAAACATAAATAAGTTTCTCTTTGAAACTGCTTAACGATGGTGTTCTTCCTTAGCCTTAACCTTTTATCTGTCATGCCCGAAATAATCTCGGGCACAGCACTGGTGTTCGAAAATGTCACGCCCGAATATTACTCGGGGTAATTTTTTTTTTAGTGCATTGTATTGTTATACCCGAATATATATCGGGAGACGTTTATTTCAGCTTCATCTCTTTGTCAAACTCGACTGTATATCTTGAAAAGTTAATGTGCACTCAGTTCAATAGATGGCAGCACTTTACTGAAGATTTCAAAGGTTAGAGGTTAGAAGTTCTTTGGTTCAAAGTGCCGCGGGATCTTTTTGTTGTAAAATGGCATCCAGTTCTTTGAAACATTATATAGATGATTTAGATTCTTAAACCGAAGATGAAGATTTTGAAGGCATCGATACTAGTGACGAGGTGAAACTGAGGAGAGTGACATTTAAAGTAGCAGTGAATCAATGGATAGCGGTGATGATGATGATATAGGAAATGCGAGAGACTGGTGTGAAATAACTGCTTTTGGCCGATCAGGGTCCCCGCGGTTCCCTTTTATAGGTACTCCACACTGTAACTTTTCCTGTAAACATAAACTACTCCTTTAGATATTTTTGAAATGTTTCTGGATTCAAATCTAATGGATATAATTGTTAAAGAAACGAACAACTATGCAGAACAAGAAAAAAAAGCAAATCCGGCAAAGATATCAAAGTGCTCCCGCACTAAAAAATTGACAGAGAAATGAAGCTATTCTTTGGGCTAATACTTCAAGGTATTGTCCGAAAACCAAATCAGGCTATGTACTGGTCTCATTGAAGGATTTTGCATACTCCAGTTTACCTAAAGTAATGCCCATAAATCGTTTTTTTATTTTTTTTTTCGTATTTTTTTTTGCAATAATGAAGCTGAAAAAAAAAAAGATGGTTTCCAAATCCAAACGTGAAGCTGTATAATGTAAATTGAAATTTTCCAGAAAAATTTTGTAATTTACATACCGGAAAGCAATGTATTGGTTGATGAAAGCTTGATGCCTTATAAAGGAAGGTTATCTTGAAAACAATATATTCCTATCAAACGCGCGTGATTTGAAATCAAATTTTTTATGCTTTATGAGGCGGAAACAGGGTTTATTTGTGACTTCATTATCTATACAGGAAATAGTACCGTCTTCAATCAGTTCTATACAAATTATGGACTTTCTACAAAAGTCGTTATGCACCTATTGAATCATTTTCTTGGAAATGGTTATTGTGTGACTGTAGATAACTGTTACATGTCACCCGAGCTTGCAGACTTACTTATAGCCCAAAAAACGGATATTTATGGCACAGTAAGGATAAATAGACTAGATTTACCTACATAATTCGCTAAAAGAAAATTACAAAAAGGTCAAATCATAGTTTTCAAAGGGGTAAGATTTTTGGCTATAAGGTGGAAAGATAAGAAGGATGTGTGTTTGACGAGCAGTATTCATGATACTTCATGGAAGCTCTCAAAATAAAAAAAAAATTAAAATAATCAAGCCGAAGATTTGTTTCTGACTACAATCTAACTAGGGTGTGTAGTCGCTGTGATCAAGAATACCTTTCATCCACAATCCGAAAACGTCAGAAAAAAATATTATAAAAATATTTTTACATTTTACTAGACAAGGTTCTCTGGAACTTATATTTTGCTCTATAAATGTAGTTGAGAACGTATTACATTTTTAGAATTTGAATCCAATTGTAGAAGAACTTTACTGAATAGAGGATGCAGCTTCTGGCAAAGAATGTTGGCAGACCACTACAATAGATAACCATGCCATCTTACTGAAGACATTTTATATCCCATATTCCTGCGAACGTGAGCCGACAAGCAAATGTAGTGTGAAAAGTTAAATGGGGAATAAGAAGGAAACACGATGTTGGTAGTGATTGTGGAGTTGGTTTGTGCTTGGAAAAGTGTTTCCATTTGTAACACACAAACTGAATTACTGAGCTACTAATAGGTATTCACTTTTTTTTTTTTTTCATTTATTTATTTTAATTTTTTTTTTTTTTTTTTCAATTTTAGAAATAAGGCTTCATTAGAAGCGAACTTTACAACTGCCATGTTGAGTGGCAGCCGCCTCAAGCATATTATAAATGTGCAATGGCTACAAAACTTTAAAAATTTTACCCATGTACTTCAAAATATCAATTTTTAACTACTAAGTATATTTTATTTTGTACTAAACGTTTGATTTTTGCAATAAAAAAAATTTGACAATTTGTGTATCCAAATCATCAAAATAATTTGACAGTTAAAGGGTTAATAACGTTCATGTGCTTTGCTGTGTCAGAGTTGCCAACTTTCCCGATTTAGGCTGGAGACTCCTGATTTTCAACCGCTCTCCCTCCAACCCGATTTACAATACATTTCTCCCGGATTTTTTCTTATTCTTCAAATTTCTCGTGATTTTTATGGAGCTTGGCTTAATACTTCGTCATATGAATTTTAAAAAAAAAGTGATTTTGGACATCTGAAAGCAATTGAATTTTCTCTAGATTATACATGATCTGTTTTGAGAAAAACGAAAAATTAAATTTTTCTTTGAAGGACCAAAAAGTTATAAATGCAGAATGTCTGTTCTCTGCCTTTTTACTTCAGCAAACTGCCACTGAATGCATCGATCACGCCTGCAGTTTTATTTAGAAAAATGTTTCCCCAATAGTGAAATCGCTAAGAAATACTCCAGTGCAAGGACCAAAACAGGTGCAATTGTTAAAGAAATGGGTTTGAAAAATAAATCTTCTGTTATTGATTGCATTAAAACAGCTCCATTCTGCCTCTCTACAGATTCAAAACTGTAGCCAATTGTTTCTTTTATTAATCCAGAGTCTTCAGAAATTGAGGGCAGTTTATTTTCTGTCCCCACTTTAGAAGGACATTCAACATGCTTTAATATAGCACAGCTAATTATTAAAACTTTAAAAGAAAATGCAATCCCTCTGGATAATTGCTTAGCACTTGGTGCCGATAATGCACAAGTAATGTAGTCTTGAAGACTGGTGTTGCAGGCATCTTAGAAAGGAAAATTCAGATTTGCAGATTATGAGGTGCACATGTCACCTCTTAAATTTAGCACTGAATGAAAAAGGGGCAGCTTTTTTCCAGTATATGTGGATGAATACATTGTTGCTATTTATTGTTATCTTGAAAGGGTTTCTAAAAGGAAGGAAAAATTGAACAGTTCCACAGCTGCATGATACTGAATGAGAAAATTTTGAACATGTTTACCTACTGGCTGTCTTTAAGGAAGGCCTTATCTAGAATCCTCCGATCATGGAACCCACTTCTTGCAATTTTAAAAGAAGTAAATTGCTTCCGAGAGTTAGGATAAAAGCTCATTTGAAATTCTAAAATACTAAAGTAAATGGAGATGTAGTTACTACTTCCATTGTTAAAAATAGGTTTGAGAAAGTAATTTCTTCACCATTCAGCAATTCACTGGGCAGTTCTCAAAATAATACTGCAAATATTTAAACCCGACAACTTTCCCTAAAAAAAAAAATGCTCACATGGGAAACATTTTCCATTGTGAATTTTACCTTGGAGAACGAATATTTGTTTTTTCTTTCGGACCCTTAAACAAGCTTTTTCCTTTTTTTTGATAACCCATTTTTGCCATCATTCGATGTTCTTAACACAGTTCTACAAAGCAGAATTCCATATCATGTTTTTGCAATCATGATTTATGATCTGTTTAAAAGAAATTTTATCAAGTTTCAACCAGTCGTTGTTTTTTTATATTCTATAGATGCGATTATGGTGAATAAAATCTGAAGAAAATAGGTAAGATTTGGTTATAAGACTGCAACTACAAAAGTATGAAGACTTTCAGAAGAGACAAAAAAAAGTTTTATCTTCAGGTTAGAGTTACTTCTGTCGAGTATGTGATTACTACTACATAAATTTCCCAGTTCAACCATGAGTGATTTTGCATGCTAAATTTGATGATGTTTTCTTTCCTGCTCTAGCAAAATGCATTTTTTTTTTTCTGATAAAGGTACGTTTTGAACAGATTTCCGCCTTTTACTTCTTTAGTCATGAAAGATGATGGTTTTGATTTTGCACTGATATTTAGTCACAGTTTTACAGTTACATTGAAAACTGATAAGTTTTTAAAATCACCTAGATTGACACTCATTGGAGTTGATGAAACTGAAAGATCTGATGGAATTTAATAGTGAACTGTCAAATTATTGCCATCTTGACAGTTTCCCATGTAATGCAGAGTGCGAGGGAAGTTTCAGTGTGTTGCGAAAACAAGGCTAATTTAGTCAATATTGGTGTTGACACTTGAAAAACTTTTAATAGCGAAATCAGGCCTACGTGCAATTGCTATAACAAAATTATGAAGTTTCTTCTTAATGAAGCAAATCTGTCACTGTTTCATAACGTTTTACGAAACTATTCAGTGTCTTTGTTTTTGTTTTTTTGGTTTTTTAACGATGCAAGTAATAAAATTTTTAATTGTAAAGCATTTTTTGTGTTTTTTGATTTAAGAATTATAACTATTAAATTATTTATATTAAAAACTATATTTTTACATTTTAAAAAGTCTTTTTAACATTGTGAAAAATCTGATTTCTTAAAAAAAATCTTAATTTTTGAGTGTCATAGGTTGGCAAGTATACTATGTTCAAATGACCAACCAACCAAAACCAGACCTGAATTGCAATGATTTTAAATAGAAATTATTTCTTTTTGTTGTGCATTGTAGGAATTTTTTTCCTTAAAATTCTGCATTGTGATAAAGATTCCAACTGGAGTATTATAAACTTGTTAGAGATAAATACTTATTATTAAGCCCATTTGTGAATTTTTTCACATTTTTAAAATTATTTTTGCAATAGTTACAAAAGTGTAAATTGGAAATATTTTACTTATAAAAATAATAAAATTAATTTACTGAGAATAGTAAATTTTGTTGATATATTTCTGTATTCTTTGAATAAAGCATGCATATTATTATTGAATAAAGCATGCGTATTATTGAATTGTATTGAAATTTTTGCATATTAATTCCTAGCAATGGAAATTTTTTTTCCTATACATGTGAAGACAATTTTAGCTTGTATATATTTGTAAACTTGTATAGATCTTGTATATATTTTAGCTTTACTTTTGCCGTTTTAAAGACCTCTTATGAATGTTTAATAACCATGCCGTTTATTTGTTAAAATGAATGAATGCATAAAAGGCAGAAAATTCTTTGCCTTTTATTTTCTATTTATTCTTCGCCTTTGAATTCATTTCTGTTTTCAGGAAGGAAAAAGCACTTAATATGTTAGTGCAGACTGGTCGTTTACCAGAAGCTGCATTTTTTGCTCGCACCTATTTACCTAGTCAAGTATCCAGGTGGGTAGTTTCTTCTTCATATTTTATGTACATACAATATAAATTCAGATGTAACAAAGTTGTATGCTGAAGTTGATGCACAAAGATTGTTTCTTTAAAGTCAATTATAGACGTTTGAAATTTCTTTCCCCCATTACTACTTAATTAAGGACATAAGGTTGGATGCTACTTAAAATGTTAAAGCCCGTGTATGTCTAATGACTGAAGAAAGAAATTGTAGAGTACAATGTTAAAAGGAAGAGGAAATATTTTAATTTGGAATTTTGCAGCTGAAAGGTTTGCTATTTATTGTCTACCCATTACATTTTCATTGGTGGTAAATTTAGATGGTTCATGAGGGAAAATATTAGAGTTGAAAATGAGGGAGAATAATTTTATTGATTAAATGAGGTAAATAATACATAAGGATAACCATGTGTATATTGAAATAATAGTTAAGAATATGCATTAAGAACTCTGTTTTTCCGTAAACTATAATAGTGCACTTAAAAGGAAAAAGGAAAGTTAACTATTTGTAAAATCGTTACATGATAGAAAGCAATTTTTTTTTAGGTACTTCTGTGTTAGTGTGTCATCAGTTCTCGAAATGTTCCAGAAATGCCAAATGTGGTAGTCTATTTATATGAATGAATAACTGTGCATGATATTGAATTTGTAAAATTCTCAGCTTTTATATTCAGCTTCTATTCTCAGCTTATTTAAGGGAAAGCAGATCACAATGCACTAGAACAGTTTTGTTCTACCCATATATGCAGCAAAATGTTTTAGCTTAAAAAAATCAGGGACTTGCACGAATTTGGCATTGCACGCAGTCTTTGCTCTGCACTATGTACTGTTAGGTGCGCTACTATCTAGTTTGATTTTGTGCTAGCATTTATGTTTAGCATTAAGTGGTGTACTATTAACAAAAAAGTACCTTTTTTTATCAGCAATAAATTTATGTGCAACCTTTTTAATATATAATTGATATAAATACGTATAAATATTTAAAACTTACAATTTGTGAACTTATCCACCTTTTCAGTTTTTAGCATACTATGATTTAAAGTTAGGTTCTAGATTTAAAAAAAAGTATAAATTAAAACTACATAATTTAAATTCTTCAGCATTAATTATATATTTTTGCTATTGTTTTAATATTGCCCATCTGCTATTAGAATTGAATAGTTCTTTATTTGTAATGAAATATGAAAATATTTATATGCATCTTTTATGTTTTTAATGCATTATTTTTCATTATTACCAGCTCTTGGAACACATGATAAAAATTATTTAAATGAAGTCATCTTTTGTGCATAATATTTAATGCATAATTTTTAAAATTCCTTTTCTTTGAAATTCCAGAGTTGTCAAATTATGGAAGGAAAATTTAAATAAAGTAAATGAAAAAGCATCCCTTGCTTTAGCTGATCCTGAGGAATATGAGAATTTGTTCCCTGGTTTGAATGATGCTATTAAGGCAGAACAATTCATGAAACAGAATCAAGTTCGCCAGCCAGCTGCTAGCTACTCAACAACAGTTGTAAGTGCTTGATTGTTTGCATATAACTTTTTGATGAATTTTTGATTTGCTTTTTAAGTTGTTCCACTTTAGAACTTTAGTTTCACTGATTATTCAGTTTTGCTGTACTGTGGGGAATAAGTGTTTTAAAATGATGTGAAGCTGTTCTTGCTTCAGGCACTTTGATGTATCTTATATAAAGATACTTTTAAGCATTTAAATCCTTTCTAAAAGGTAATGCTGGTTCCAGATATAAAATATATTTCATCAGTTTGAAAGCAATTTTATTAGTATTAAATTTTATAATAAAGATTAAAAATATTAGTATTAAGAGAATGACTTTTGAGAAACTTTGATGACTGAGGAATAGTTGTATCTTAATCGGATCTGCTGCAATGCATTGTGATGGTTTTTTGCAGATATTAATGGACTGAAATCAAGGATGATGGTTATTTCATAATTGCGTGTATATAGGCTGCAGTACATATTTGCAGGTCAAAATTTATGCATTCCTTAAGATTATCCCCCAGCATAATGAAGAAATGTATTGTTGCATTACAGTTAAATGTAGTCACTAAACTCTATATTTTTAGATACATTAATCTTTTCATTACGAATAACAACAGACTCGAAGTAAAATACCATCCGAAGAAATTCAACTTTTTGAGTTAATTTAAGATATTGCTTTGAAAGCTATGGGAAATCAAGAAGAGTTGCTGTACAGTTTAGTTGCTGTTCCATGTGGGTTGTAGATGTATATTGAAAGAAAATGATTTTAGAATCAACTGTCTTGCACAGATTTCTATTAGTAAGAAGGTTGTGAATATACAATAAATACATGCTTGGAAAGAATAATGTTGAATCAGTGTTATAAAATCATCTGGCAAAACATCTTTTGACATGAAGCAAATGATTTAAATTTGTACGAATGTAATAAAATTGTTGGTTCTATCCCTAATGTTCAAGGCATAAATCATCCTGCTTCTGTTATGTTCTGGAATTGCATTTCAACTCATGGAATGAGTAGACTACACATTGTTCAAGATGAAATTAATTTTTTGATATATGCACATCATTAGGTTAACTAATACTTCTGACCTGTCTGAAAACAGCAGTTTCATCTTCAAGGGTGAAAATGAGTTAAGGCATTAGTCACAAGTAGTAAACTAATGATTTCTTTTAAAATCATAGTTTAACTTTTGTAGCCTCCACAATTGCTGAAACGTAAGTCAAAAAGTGTTATCTGAAGTGAGAGTGAAGACTTCAAGAAACAAAGTGCAAAGTTTATTTTGTGCTTGTTTCATCTAATATCAACTGATGAATTTGATAAGCTTGAAAGTCTCTGGAAATGTGCCTTTGCAGTAGAAAAACAAAAACTTTTCATTTTAGTATTAATTATCCATGCAGCTTCTGATGTATCTGACATCTTAATGAATAAATATTTTGTCACCTTTGCAGTTAATTTTTATCTTGGCATCCTTAACCCATTCAGGACCAGCGTCATATATAAGCGAAGAGCTCCAATCATTCTCTTCAGCCCAGCATCTGTGAACGTAACTTGAAAATGGAACGATTTAAAAAAATTTTAAGTGCCACTAGATGGTGCTAAATTGTAACAATTTTCACATTGGTTAAGTCGTATGTCTTTTGATCTTCGTGTATGAGCATCAGTTTCTGTTCTATGCTTCTGGTTTTGATAGATTTATTGCTGTAAACAAACTAGGAATCGCAGCTCATTAAGCTTAAAGGGACATCAGCGTTGTTTATTTCGTTAGGATTTTTTTTTTTTTTTTTTTTTTTTTTTTTTTTTTTTTTTTTTTTTTTTTTTTTTTTTTTTTTTTTTTCGTTTTTATCCTTTCTTCGTTCGTTTTAATTTGGGAAAGTTCAGCGCAATGCTTTTTTTTTTTTTTTTTTTTTTTGTTTTTGTTTTTGTAGGAGAATGGGAAAACCCTCTAGCTGACTATAACGGGTGTAACGTGATGACTTCCATGATGGGAAACTCAGACCATTGTCCTTTTTATATTTATTTTAAACTTAACATAGACTTTCTTGTTAATTAAAGTAATTTTTACAAATATTACAGAGAGCAAGAATTAGCTTTCTGATTCGTGATGCATCTTACTTACTTGCGAAAAAGCAGTCATTGTCCTGTTGTCGATTTCATTTTGAATTATCACACACGCAGAATGAATTATTATATTGGAATTTATTGCCTACAGATAATTATTGCTTAATTATCTTTTACATTTTTTATTTGTATAGTACTTGCATTCATGCTTGTAGTTATAAAGTTAGTTTTTCGCATGTTTTATTTTTTCTTCATGGAATCTTTTATTATACATATTCCTAATTTATATTTATACGTACTTGTAAAATTGAGATCATTAAATGCAATTTTATGGTTTTTTTTTTTTTTTTTTTTTTTTTTTTTTTTTTTTTTTTTTTAAGTAAACTTTTCAAAATGCGTGCACTGGTGGCAAAGTTCCCTTTCCGGGGGTTCGGTCCGGCGTGCTGGTCTTGGGGGAGGTTAACATCATGTAATAAGGTATTCAGATAGTCACTGAGCAGTTTCAAAGGGCGTATGTTATGCCAAATACCATTCATATTAGGTATTATATATGAAGAATTTATTCTGTTTTTGTAAGAGTGCATTGTTTTGCTCTTTCATTACTCTGCTTATCTTCCAAATAATTAGTCATTCCAAAGTAACTTATACACTTGCTAACTGTCAGGTGATTACATTTCTTTACTATTAAGCTGATGAAGTTTTTAACACTAAAATAAACACCAAAATAAGAACTGTAGTTCAACCTATGTGTACATGTCCCAACTGCAAAATGGACTACATTTGATGGATTCTAATTATGCCTGCAGGAATCAGATCTCTGTCAGATGTGTAGAAGGCAGATTTCTCCCCTCCCTCTAATGGAAACTGGTTTCATAAGAAGTCATTCATTTAGTCATAAGTTTTTGAGTAGTATGATATTCTGTTTTGTATTACTTTTGAAATTGTTTTAAATATGTTCTTTGTAAAAAAAATTGTATGTTATCTTTGTAAAAAAAAGGTAAATTTAAATGAATTCAGATGTGCAAAATAAATGTTTACATGACATGTTATGTAAGACTTTTCTATTGTGCTGCAGTTCTTTTTTAAGATTATTTCAACATGCACAACATTTGTAGTCTGAAAATGAAGTATTGAACATCAAAAAAAATTAAATACTCACATAAAAAATATTGAGTTCTTAAGTATGGTTTTATAATAACTTTAACATCACACCGTGTAATAATTCAGGTGCAGAAAACATTGTTGAAGCAAGAGCTGTTGAAAATGTATGTTTATTTACTTTCTAGCCAACTTATGAAAGATGTCCCGTTGAAGAAATGAAAGAAGCTGAAGCAGCAGGCAAGTTTGTGTATATTGCTGATGATGATGCTACTGGAAGTTTACATTCTTTATCTGAGGTAATTAAAAAAGTTAAACGTGTTACATTATGTTCAGATTAGTTTAACGTAAGCAAAATTAATGAATTAACTTTGAAGAAAATTTGTTTCTAATTGCAAACATATTAAGTTCAAATCCTGCAATTTTCTGTTGATAAAATGTACTTATAACTATTTATGTATCCACTACTGCGAGATTCATTAATGTCTGATTTTTCAGGTTGGAATTTCTCATTTTCTTATGTATAACGAGAAGTATAATATTTAAAGACTTGAGTTAATTTTAAGTTTGCTGTATGAATAATTAAATGTTCTCATAACTAAGAATGGCAGTATGAAATTTTTACATTAAATAAACCCTCCAAAATAGTGTAGTTCAACCTATATGTATATTTTATCATGTGGCTAATAAACAGGGTTGCCATACAATCTGGAAAACTGGGAAATGTCAGAGAATTAAAAAATTGACCAAAAAGTCCAGGGGGGGAAGTCAGGAAATTAAAATATTTTAGTCAAAAATCTGGAAATGTTGTGAAAATTCATACTGTGATCCCCCAAAAGAGTGATTTTTGCACTAACATCAGAAGTGAACACTTTCTTGGCAAATCTTGTATCAGGTGAGGGTCATTCAAACAGGTGGCATAGGGCCAAGTTTCGCAGCGGCAATCAAATAATCTTTTAGAAAGGCAAAGCACGTTTCTAGTAACCTTGAGAATACAGAGATTCATGTGCAGTGCATGTTGAACGAAAGTAAATCCCCCCCCCGGGTTCTCATATAAAACAAGCCTTTTCTTCTTTCTTAAATGCCTTATTTGTCATTTTGCTGTAAAAAAATAATCAGTCATATAGGTTAACCATTTTATTACATTCTTTAAAATATAGTCAATTTTTGTAATTCAGTTTTTAATTTTTAAGTAATCGACTTTATTTTAATGTTATTATTATCATTTAATGTGCCTTCTTCCTTCTAAATTTAATTAATACTAGTTAATAATACTTTCAAATTTCAGGCAATTTTCTCTGGCATAATCATGAAACTAATTCTAGCAGTAAAATGGCATAGCATCATGAAATTTATTGCACAGATTTTTTACTTATGTATGCTGCTAATTAAATATAAAAACTTGAATTTAGTTTAAAATACCATCAAATTGATTTCCTTAGCTGCAAAATTTCTGCGGAAAAACATATTTAAATCCCGATTGGGCACATTTTAATCTCAATCATCAGTGGACAAAACAACTCCTATTATATTATAAAAGTAATGCTTTGGGGAGGCAAATTTTTGTGTTTTCAAGTGGTACCATAATTAGTTTACCCTAAGCACATTTAATGCACACTATGTGGATAGCCTAGAATTTTCTTGGAAAACCTGGGGAATTTCATTCTGTTTCAGTGGCAACCCTGAATAAATTGTGTTATTCCAGTGTGATGACAATCATCTTCAGAGCATTTGTAATCTACAGCATGCATGTCAGACTCGTAGCTAGTGGGCCTCATGCCATTTTTCTACCGCCCTTGGTTCACCTCAAGAAAGTAACAATATGTATATAAGTATAATATATTAATAAAAATTGGAAATCCACACAATATCGAGGCCTTTCTAAAATCTCATGTGATAAAAGGACCTTTGAGACAATCTCTTTATACATTTTCATACCCATAGCCACTCTAATCACAGTGCTCAATTTTTTCACTTTGAGACATGCTGTACCCGACTTTTAACTTTATTTGGATATAACACCAAACTGAATGTATATGGCAGGACAAAACACCTCTGGGTTATAATGGACAGTAAAATTTTTTGGAGCATATCAGACACACTGTGATTAGAATCTAAAAACACTGCCTGTCTTGAAGAGACTGGTCATGCAAAATGGGGCTGCACCCAAGTAACACTAAATCTCACTTACAACACCTGTATAAAACCAATTCTTAAATATGGCAGTGAAATTCTGTTTTCGGCTGGTCAGACCAAGTTGGAAGTACTGGAGAGCCAATAATAAAGCTCTTCCCCAAGTAGCACAGCAACGTTGTAACGACATTGCAAACTCGTCGCGGATGTGCTTGCAAAAACATTGCAATATGTCATCTTTAAGGCACCCAGATGTCCACAAGCATCCACTGTTTTGCATCCATTGCAAAGACGTCTTTATTACGTCTTTGCAGATGAGGTTTTTGTCGCATAGACGTCGTTATTGCGTCTTTCGCAGGTGATATTTTGGTTGTGAATGCATTGTATCACGACATCTTAAAGACGCATAAATGTTCGCAAAATTACACGTTTTTGCAACAGTTGTGAAAATGTCGTTATGTCCTTGTGTTACATATTGGTTTATGCAGAAAAGAAAAGCTTAATAATTAATATATTTTTTTCTTTTTTAAATTTTTTGTATTGTATTTTTCTAAAGTTTAAATATTTTATCATTTCCTTAAAAACCAGAAGATAATACAATTTTTTTCTCTTAAGGACTAAATATGCATAATTAATAATAGCTTTAATTATTTTCAGTAAACTATATTTTTTAAATAACTTAAATTCTAAGTTACGGTTATTTAAGATTTCATCATTTTTCCCCCTTAAGTGAGAGTAATTATGAAAGTGGTTTTTATAAATACATAACATTGAGATGTTTTAAATAAAACTCAATTAGATATAAATAAAAGTAAAAATATATATGTGGGTTAAAAAAAAAAAAAAGGAGCGTTTCTGATAACAGCATTATCACATTTATTTCTGTTTCTGTTAAATCTCAGAGACATTGAAAATTGGCCCTGTCATGATAAATTAGGAAGCGGTTCTTAAGGTAACATAATTACTATTTTACCTGAACTCAAGTATAAATTAATATATAAGCATAATAAAATCTATTTGTTAAGGAACTATAGTGTAAGATTTCTTTTGTTTACTCATTTTTTTAAATGTACCATTAAATAAGAAAATGGTGTCTTTTATTATGACCCATTCTATGGGTCACTGAAGACTTTTTGATCCACTTTAAGGTACTTAAGTTTGACATGCTTGATCTAGAGTAAAGTGATTACTTCCATAGATTTTCATTTTATGAGTCTAGAGACTGCTGATCATGGTATTTTTACCAGTTTCTGTGTATTTTATGTGAATTATGCTAAAAATTCATCTAACTAAACAAAATATGAAAATTGTAATTTACCAGAAATTGATCTGTAACTAGACTTGGATGTAACAACTCTATTATTATGCTGTTGATTAAAGGTATTAATTATTTTTGTAATAGAAATGAAAGGAGCGTGTATGCTTTTCGAGCACTTGCATATGATAAAGGTGTTTTGAATAGGTAGTAACCATTTTCATTCTGCATTTATTCACAAAGAAAATGTTGAGTCTTTCATTGTGGAAAATGCTGTAAACATCTGTGCAAGCAGACATTGGCTAGCTGTAGCACCCAAGTAGGTTTTTGTGTGCAATATTTTGCTATCACATTATTGTGTATTTCACTGTTTGGGGGAATTATTTCATTGAGCCAAATATCTCGGCAGAAAAGCATTGAGTTAGTTCATTGAGCTGTCATTTTTTTGTAACTGCCTGAGTGGCAATATTGTTTAGCTGGTCTTCCCCCCTTTTTTGTATTGTTTTTCAGCATCAGAGTTTGTTTTATTATGCAACAAAAAGAATATCATCTAGATTATGAAAAATCTTGTTTTCTAAATACTCCTAAAATGTCCGTATTAAACCATTTAAAAGAAACTGCTTATTTTTTCTTAAGATTTATTCTGCTGTATCTTTGAAACTGGTAATTTTAGATACATATGCTGCCTAAATAGTTTAAAAGTTAAGTACAGATTTAGAAAGCCATTGAGACCTGTACTGCAGCAAAGCTGCCAGAGGCATAAAATTGAAAATTTATAGCATAGGACAGATGTCCTTAGAGAAAAGTAACCACTTCTGTGAAGTAGGCTGTTCATAACATATAAGCAGTTCAGTTACTGGAACAGAGGAGCAGCAGTTTCTTTTGAACAGGTTTTAAACATGCATGTTTCCAGAGTATGGAAAGAAGGAATCTGGGGGTTGATACATGTGCAAAAGTTAGCTTTCAAAATCTTTTTTTTTCTACATCTATCTGGATTGGGGGAAGTGATTGATGTAAAAGAATGAAAAGATGTAGAAGTGTGATTCCCCTGAATTATTAATTTATTGATATTTTTTCAACAATATTTAGAAATGCACTTGTAGACTTAAAATATATTTTCACCATGTGTATATGTTTAGTTGTATGGCAGTATGGTAAGGAAATTTCTAAAATATTTAAGTAGATAGTTTTCGTGTTTTGTGAATAGTAATAAAAGAACTGCAATTTTTAGACATAATTTTTAAGAAGGAGGTATGCATCAGAAAACTGTTTCACTGTTACTTGGCAGATACAGCTTGTGCTATAGCAAGCACCCCACATGAGAATTGGGTGGATATGTCAACTTAAGAACTAAAGAAGGTATTTATGCCCAGAATTCAACATTTTTGTATATAGTTATACAGAGTAAGCCGAAAGTTCGTTAAAACATTAAAAATTCATTAAAAAATGGAAGAAATTCTGATAAAGTAGTGCAGTTTTGAAGAAAGGGCTCACAAGGAAGTCTGTTTTTTTTTTTTTTTTTTTTGTCTTTTTTTTTTTTTTTTTTTTTTTTTTTTTTTTTTTTTTTTTTTTTTTTTTTTTTTTTTTTTTTTTTTTTTTTTTTTTTTTTTTTTTTTTTTTTTTTTTTTGTTTTTTTTTTTTTTTTTTTTGTTTTTTTTTTTTTTTTTTTTTTTTTTTTTTTTTTTTAACAGAAGAAAAATATTTAGTTAAAAATGTCATTGGTAGAGGGCACTGACATGCAAGAGATTCGGCAGAATTATGCTAATTAATCGTGGAATAAAAGATTGTGATATACAAGGATTTCTCATTCGCTTTCAGAATGTTATCGTTACCTGAGTGAGTGTTGCTGGTGAAATTGTTCTATTTAAATTTGAGTTTGTTGCAAAAATTTCTCATGTTGAAGGGACTGAAGATGAAGAATGGCCCATATGGTGTTCTGGAATACTGAAGCTTTTCAAACAGATATAAGAAGCTGGCTCTTTGGAAGATCGGCCACAAAGTTTTAAGATCGTCATTGGTGAAGAGCCAGATTACTATGGTGAAAACAACTATGAATAATATAGCGGCGGAATGGTCCACAGGGAGTAACAGTGCTCACAAAGCTGAAATGATATTGGATGTGCCTCACTCATCAGTTTGATGCATCCTTCACGAGATATTGCATCTCTACCCCTGCCAAGTAGGCTATGGCAAGAATTGAAAGCGACTGCCGGTGGTTGTTCAATGTTTTCTGGATGGATGAGAACACTTCACACTACACAGGGATATCAACGTGCAAAACACTCGCATATGGGCGACATCGGATCTTCATGAATACACAACAAAGTCTGCATCCAGCCAAGTTGGCAGCCTGGTATGGCTTCACCTCATCTTTCATTGTTGGACCATTCTTTGAAGAACTGTGTCCTGTACCTGGCTGGAAAATGTGCATAGTAAACCCTGAGTGTTCTCGTTCTTATATGTGACAAAGTCATGCCCACTTTAAATCAAAGAGATGTATTATCTGTAATAAGCTTTATGCAGGATGGCATACTGCCAATCCAGTTAAATGAATCCCCTTAAGTGCCTTTAGTGAAGACAGAGTGATCAGTTGAGGTTGCAAGATTTCACGGCCTTCAAAATCACCCGACCTCACTCTGGTCTACTTTGGTTGTGGGGCTATTTGAAATCACTTGTGTACCATCCATCCCCTTCAACACTAGCCAAACTCGAAGATTCTATCTGTTGTGCGGTTTCTGCATTTCATTCCAACATGTTGCATCCACTGGTAATGGACATTGTGGTTGTGAGGCTATTTGAAGTCACTTGTGTACCATTTATCCCCTTCAACACTGGCCAAACTCAAAGATTCTATCTGTTGTGCGGTTTCTGCATTTCATTCCAACATGTTGCATCCAGTGGTACTGGACATTGGGAGTTACCTTAGTTGTGTCGTACAGTGTTCTGAAGGTCATGTTGAACAGCTGTTATTGCAAGAATAAATGAATGTAGCACTATGTTGACCTGTTCATTGTGTTTTGGATTGTCAGTGCCTTCTACTGGTGACATTTTTAACTAAATTTTTTTTTGCTGCTAAACAAAATCCGACTTCTTTGTGTCCTTTCTTGCAAACAGCACTTCTAACCTTTTCTATTTTATGAATTTTTAAAATTTTAATGAACTTTTGGCTTACCCTGTATTTAATTATATATTAATAAAGTGTATTTAGAAGCACCAAGAAGTGATACCAAACTAAATGAAAAATATTGCATGATAGTGTGTTTTAAAGCCCGTTTAAAATATTGCATGCAAAAACCTATATAATGAAGTTCTTAGTGGAAGGGTATTTTTACTTTGTGCCTTGCTTATAGACAAAAAGTCAACATGTTTTTTTGGGGGGGCATGTTTGCAAATAAGCATAGTTGACATAGCAAGATCGAAGTGATAATCAGACTTTTGATGTTTATTAAATTATGAGTTTGTCCCTTAGCCGCTCCCTCTCAAACAAAACATACACTAAACTACTTAGTACCCAAAAATATAGGTGACAAAAGAGGGAGAGAGAGAAAGGTAAGTAAACAGAAGAGAACTGTCATCATTAGTAGCTAATCTGGCTGTGCATAGAAAACAAAACTAACTTTTTAAACTAAAAATGTAATAAAATTATCAGACAAGTCAAGGCCTATTAGTTGTGAGTCCCGAGAAATTTAAGTAAAGAAATTTTTTGTAATGTTTTAGAAATATGTCCTCTGATTAACTCTCTAGATACACAGAACAGGATAAAAGTACTTAGTTACTAGGCATCCTCTACTATCACTGTAGGCCAGATGGCTGCAGCCATAAACTGAGAGTTATGTTGGAAAGCATGATGTCCATTTAAGAATTTGAGTTAGATTTATATAATTAAAATTTTTAATACTTGTAAGATTTAAGGTGTGGTAAGTGAAAGTGGAAAGACTGTTAGAAGTTTGGAGTGAAAATTTAATTTAAGATGAAATATGATGCATGCTATGCTAGTAGACATTATGCTGTCAAAAGTTAGCTGCAACAAAATGTCATTTAGAATTCATTTTGTTGAGTACGAGATCTTGGAAAATAAATGAATGGTGTGTTAAATTACTGTATGTTGCTGTAGTGACTGTGAATCACCAGGAAATTATATTGCTAAAAATAGTGTTGAGATTGAAAAGGTATGTAGAGTGTTCCAGAAACAGGCTTGTTTGGGTAGGGACATTATGTGTGCTTTCCAAAATTTGATGAGAAATACTAGTGCAAATTTAGACATATGAACATGCCATTTGTAGGGTGATATATTTTTTAGCAATAGGTGTGTGTATGGTGTGACATGTATACACACCTTATATTGTTGGGTAAAAGGTGTGGCATATAAACTTACCTTTTCCCCAAAAGAGGGCCATAGTCTATGCCCTCTTTTGTGGGGTGGGTGTTCCTGTTTTAGAGAATTGTCTAGAAAATGTGTGCAGTTGTATCAGCAACTGTGTCTGTTTTATAGCTCAAGTTATCTTCAACATTTTTTTATGTATTTCTGCTTATTAAAAATACAGAAAACTTGAGTTTAATGTAAAAATTAATATTAATTTCATTTATCCATTTTAATGTCGCTATCTATATTTTAAAAAGTGTTGAATTCTAAATTAACTTTGTATAATTATTTATCTGAATGAGCTTTTCTGTTCTTTAAGCATTTTGTTCGTCGTTACTTATTTTTTTTTTTTAAAGAATCTTCATAATTTCAATCAAAGTTTCTCACTTTAGTTTCATATTAGCTTAGAGAAGCTATTTCAGCATACGCTTTGAACTATCTAGATTGATATTGAAAATTTCAGTGCGAGACATCTCGCAAAGGGCGCTCTGGGAACATATATTGCAACAAATATTTGTATAATTGTAAAATAATAATAAAATTAATCAACTGCACCCATTGAGCACTGCTTTACCCCTTCCTCCCTTTTAATTTTCATGATGAATAGTTATGTTGTTTATTTTATTTAAGGGAGGAGGAGACGCAAACTGTTTCTCAGAACCTTTCATATCAACATATAAGGCATCTGAAAGTTCTGCAAGTGAGCAGTTTTCTGGATTAAAGTCTAATACTATTGCAACTGGATCATCTAAAGCATATGTAAGTAACTGAAGTGTAAAGTAGTGTTTATTTCAGAAATCTATGTGGAACTGCAGTGCTGAAAATAGCTGATTAATCCTAAAGTAATGCTTTCAAAGATTGCTTTAATATCTAATAGTAATTACCTTAATAGTAATAACAGCAATGTGTAAGTTTTGCATACTGAATAAAATGTTGCTATGTTTTAAAAAAAATTTCTGTTTTTATGATTTTTAAAATGAACTGTATTTTATTTTAAAAAAATTTGTAATTTTCTGAAAAATTTAGAAAAGTGGGTGTGCTTTTGATGTGTTTTCATACGTAACCATCTTACTCGATGAGGGAGGGTGAGAAAAAAGGACATGTTATATAGTTTGTAATATTACATATATACATACAGGGTGTGATTCAAAAGTTTCAAGACTTACCTCAGAACTAGAAATTTAATGGACATTTAAGTACAGCGGACTAAAATTCTTCAAAATATGATCCTGCAGCATCGACACAGCACTGCCAGTTTGTCTTCCACTGTTCGTAGCCCTGCTGGAAGGTCTCGGGCGTCATGCTGTGAAGGGCTCTTATCGAAGCCTGCTGGATGGCGTCGAATCGCTTCCCTTTTAAGCCTGTCTTGATTCAGGGGAAGAGGAAAAGTCACTTGGAGCCAAGTCGGAGCTGTAGGGTGTCTGCGGCAGCGTTGTCACGTTGAACTTGACTAAAACTTCGGCTGCGGGCGCGCGATGTGTGAGGAACCTAATCCAGTTGGATTCAGCAAGCTTTCAGAAGAGAGAAAGGTAGTCTGACACTTGATTACTCGCAACATTAATTTTAACTCTTTTTGGGATGGCACCCCAATCTCCTGCCCTGTTGCTGTGAGACAGAGTGTTGAGCTTTCATGTTGTCTCTCCAGGAAGCTTGGTAAGCTTAATTTTGCTAAAAAAATTTGGCAAAAGTATATTTTTATTCCAGTTAACTGAGTTTTTTTCAAATGTTGTAGAAAATGCATTTTCCTTTATGCTTAGTAAATTATAGAATTAAATAGATGTAACTTTTGCGACTGTAATTATATATATATATGATGATGATGAAAGAGGAATTTTAAATCAATTATTGACCATTTATTAAACTAAATTAAAATATTTAATACAAAGTAGCAAACCTACTCAGGCACATCCACACATTCATGTATCCATTTACAATGAAATTTAAAATTTGCTTTCTGGGTGATATATTCTGATGCATGCGTGCAGTGTCTTAGATTGTAATCTTTGTGCTCAGAGTAAGATATTTTTCCTGAAGCTCTCTTCTTTTGTGGTTTGAGAGCAAACAATACGTCTTCTCATTTTCTCTTTTTTCTACTCATTAAGAATTAGAGATGGAAAATGCCTCTGTAAAAGGTAAAATGTCATCAATGCAACTAATGCCCAAAATTCACACTGTTCTTGACATGACTCTTTCCGTCATTTACTCGATTATGTTTTTAATCGAAACTGAAGTAATGCTGTTTTTGTACAATTTTTTACATCATATAAAACATGATTATTTTACACGACAAAATTGAGGAATCCAAAAAATAATTTCTTGTGCCATTTGCAAAATTTTGAGATGGATTATGAGTGGTGACTAATATCTACTCCTCCCATAATTTTCTTGTACTCCAATGTACAGTTTTGTTTCTTCATACTTTCTTCCATTTTGTAATTTTACTTACTTGAATCTTGTACTTGGAGGCCCGGTAGTGCAGTAGGTAGCGCATCGCGCAGCAGCACCACAGTCCAGGGTTCGATCCTGAGGCTGGGCAAGGTCAACTCAGACTTTCATCCCTTGATTTCCATCCCTTGGGTCGATAAAGTGAGTACCAAGTTCGCTTGAGGGCTAAACACTGTGGGTCCTGCAACAAGCTGACCACTTGTTCAGGGCATATGATTACACACCCCAGGGCCCACGGTCAAGAAAGCAGATTTTGGGACACTGCTGGCCTTGGCCCACTAGGGCTGTTGCGCCACTGAGTTTAATTTTAGAATCTTGTACTTGATGTCCATGAATTGTAGTGAAAAGCAATAATACTTCTTTCTTTTTATCTTTAAATGCAACTAGATTTGTATTTTTACTGTACATGATCTCGATTGTTTTGTTGATTTTGATGGGAAATTTTTTGAAGACCTTTCCTCATTCCCATGATTATTCATTCCACGAACATTCATTTTTGCTGTATACAAATCTAATGCAAGTGATGGTGAAAAGAAAAACCTATTCAGATATAAGCTGAATAATTTTCTCAAAACATCAGTTAGGATGTTTTTCTCATTTTTGTCATATAGGCCACCTCTCATTGTAAGATTGAATTCTTTGCCTGTATATATTACAAAGTTCAACATAAAAACCCATATTAGATTCACTTAGTTAATATATTTTTGTACCACATCAGGATCGTTATGATGGAAAATATTGTTAAACACCCATCCTGTTTTTTCACATAAACAAAGATTCACCTTTGTAGACACTTTTTTACACATTTTAAAATTTCTTTAGAAATGGGTCAATAGGTTTGAGTTTATCCAAATTTTTAGTGCTACTGTTTGGTGTAAAAATATTACAATATCTTCAAAAATCTATCTCTTGGCATTAGGAATACCATTTCTGTGATTTGTAGTAAAGTACATTTTTAGATCCTTTTTTTAGCATATCTAATGCTGAAAAAAGTTCATTTCATCAGGTGATACAGGACTGAAATGAGGACCTGAAGACCCTTTAGGCAATCCACTTAGGTTTGGATCTCTTCATAGATCAAAATCTGCAAAGTTATTTGTTTGTTCCGTAATTAAATTTCTTAAGTCTTTGTCCAAAAAATATGTGAAAATAACTTCTGTGTCACAGTCACCATCTTATGCATTGTAATTAATATCAGATCTAGCAATGAAAGTGTGTGGTTGTAAATCTTTAAGTCTTTGAGGCCAGATGTCACATAGGATAGAGCAGATATTAAGGCAAAACAAAGCAGTTCTGAATCTGATAAAATACTCTTATCATAATCGGATAATTCACTGCTAAAGACATTGACATCATTGCTTCTCCGACCCTCTAGTAATAAAGCTGTATACTCAGCTTCTGATAAATATTGCTTTCTGTTTTGACATCTTAACAGGAAAAAACCAAAAAATTCAACATTCACACAAATGAAGAAATATCCTGCTGTATATACAAAGAGATGAAACTAACTAAAAACTGCACTAATGAGAATACACTCAAAAGAAACAAAAATGCACATGCAGAAAGAACCAGCAGGCTGGTTTTACATTACTGAATCCTGCTATCTACCCGTCGTAATCAAACGAAACAATCCAAGACCTAAGTTCAGGTATCATCATTCCTACATATTTTGTTACCATGGGCATAGGGCACCATGTGCTGTTAGAATTAAACATATTTATTTTTCATTCCATGTGATGGTCACCTGTACGTTACAGCTTTCTAGTAAGCACTAATCTTCTGAGATGCAGATATCATGCCTGCCGAAGACAAATCGAATCCTACCGTGGCATATATGACACATTCATCCAGGAGGAGGTAATAGTGAATTGTTCATTTCAAATCTGAACCAAAAAGAAGAGGTCTCTTATAAAATTAGGGTCTAATGTAAACATTATTACATCTTAAATTAAAAAGAATGGATAGATTGTTGAAATTTTATACTCTCCCCAAGGTTAACAAAATTGGATTTCTTTAGTTTCATTTTAAAAGCAATGTCATGTCCTTCAACTATAAAAATCTAATTTTAGATTTTCACCATTACTTTCTCATGCATCTAACCATGTGGGCTTAGTTCTTCAATATATATTAGGTTAGTATGCCATTTTGATGAAACGTTAGTTGTAGGCTTTAGCACTAATAAGAATAATAGGGAAAGAAATTACTGTTTTTTAATTTAAACATGCAGATATTTGTCTTATTTTATAGGGGGCTGAAGAACAAAGTAATTTCCACAAGGTATCATTAAAATCCAATTCAAATGAAGAGTTTGTTCAGATGAAGACAAAGACTGCTTCTGAATCTACCAAAACTGTTACAGAAACATCTGTAAGTAATTTACAGTAACTAAGCCAGTGGTTTTTAACTTTTAGTTTTTCTATTCTCTCTCTCTCTCTTTTTTAATCAAGGACCTGTTTCAAGCGCTCTGAAAAGTTTTAGGATGCTTTATTAAAAATGAGGGTTTTTCCCCCATGCTTTTATATTATTTTTTAAGATTCGTTATGTGTTTTCCAAGAGAAGTTTTCAAGTGCTGAAAATGAAATTATTTTGTTAAATAAAGTTGGAAGTCATCTCATTTGAAAGATAAAAGTTCTACATCATGCTTAGCTTAAATTCAGAACAAAATGTGATGTAAATTTATATCAGAAGACCAGCCAAAACAAGCTCCAAAAGCCAGTAAATAAAGCTTTATTATTAATGGAAATTTTCAAAACTGTTATTAGACGTGGGAAAACTTTAAAATTTGCTGCTTTCACAGTAAACAGATTATTAACTTTTGTTTAGGCAATTATATTTAATGGCTGGAATTGGTTGGTAGAAATTTATATTTTTTATATTCATAAGAATAGTATGTCATTTAATACCCAAATGTTCGTGCATTATTGATCCCCATAAAGATCAGTTCTGTCTTTGATTAAGAATGTGTTGTAATATCTCTGTATTCTTATTTATCATAACTTTTGAAGAACTAACTTACTGAATTTTATTTATATAAATAATGTTAAAATAATTACTTCTTACTGTGTAAAAAAAACCAAAATTAGTTAAAGGTACTGCTTCTGTGCAGTTTGAAAGGCTGACAATCAAGTCAATGGAAGTTTTAATATTTCGGTAATCAAAATAAAATTTCTAAATACGAGTGAACGTACATAAAAAAAAATTAAATATTGATGTAAATGTGAGGGCAGGCAAAAAATGTTTTATACTTTTCACTTTACTGTTCATTTACACAAAAGTAGGGGGTTCAACATATGCATCATTTTTCTAAATAATCATCTGTGTAGCGTTGCGGTATCTTAACTTTAAATTAATAAACATAAGAATACATCAATGTGAGTGGACTGTAGATTAACCTTTATTTGGCAGTTTGAACTTTTGAACACAACACAGCACAAAGCAAGCGACAGAATTACAATTAGCATTTGCAAGAACAAAATGCGAGCTGTGCATACAATCTGTGGATTGCAAAATAATATCTCACAGACAGGCAGAGAGCTCTGGTGGCCGAAACATTCCGCCCGGCGTTGAAACATCGTTTCAAACTAAATAGCTTTTACAAAATGAAATTATCACAAAAATATTAAATTATGCAAAAATGTATCATTGAAATATTCACAAGAAAACATAATATGAAATTATGAAATTAAACTAAATTATTCTCAAAACAGATGCACAGAAGCCTTGATACAATTCAGGAACTTAATTATAGTTAAAGCAAGGTATAATGTTATAATGCTTCAGGGAAAAAAAACTTAATCATTGATAGGCAAAACACTAAGTTTGTGAATTGGCCTTTTGAAATTAGCAGTTTTGATTTTCACGATACGCACAATATTATCTGAGCGAGGAAAAACTTCCAGCACTCTTCCTAATTTCCATCGTAGCGGGGGTAAATTGTCTTCCTTTATGATAACTAAATCATTAACCTTTAAATTAGGTTGCACTTTCAACCATTTTGGAACATCGTTGTAAATTAGAAATGTATTCATTGGACCGTCTTTTCCAAAAGCTTTGAAACGTTTTCTCAACAAGCTTCCAACATTGCAATATAGGAATTTTTTTGATCGTGTAAACTTTCTTCAGGTAAGGTAGTTAGTGGGGTACCAGTTATAAAATGGCCTGGCGTAAGTGCAGAAAATTCTGATGGATCTTCAGACATTGGACACAAAGGTCGCGAATTTAAACAAGCTTCAATTTGAGCTAGCAATGTTGTAAATTCTTCTTGCGTTAGAAGTTGTTCACTTATGGTTCGCTTGAGATGTAACATTGTAAATTTGACTGCAGTTTCCCATAATCCTCCAAATGTGGTGCTGCGGGAGGATTAAATATCCACTTAATACCTTCAGTAGAGCAATATTTATTAACCAATTCGTTTTCATTCAAGGAGTTTATTACTCTTTTCAATTTCTTATCTGCAGCAATAAAATTTGTGCCACAATCGCAATGCACTTCTGTTGGTTTTCCTCTTCGAGATACAAAGCGCTTCAAAGCGGCAATAAATTATTCTGATGTTAGATTACCTACTAATTCAATCTGTATAGGTCTTGTAGTGAAACACATGAATACACAAATGTAGCATTTCATTGGTTCCTCGACCTTGCCTGGGCTTCACTTGAAATGGCCCGGTGTACTCAATTCCAACTTTGGAGAAAACCTTTGACAGAACGACTCTAGACGATGGTAAATCAGACATTATCTGGGTAGATGTTTTAGCTCGTACACGATGACATTTCACACATTTCCAAATCTATTGTCTTACAACTGACCTAGCGTGGATTATCCAATATTCTCTTCTAATTACTGATAGCAATAGCAGGGGGCCAGCATGAAGATGGGATTCATGAAAATGATTAACTATAATCTGTGTTATGTGATGTTTCATGGGCAGCAAAATAGGATATTTTCTGTCCTGCACAATGTTGGATTGCCTTAATCTTCCTCCGATGCGTATAATTCCATTCTTATCGATAAAGGGTTTCAAAGAAAGGATCTTACTATTTGAGTTTAATGGTTGATTCTTTTTCAGAAGATTATATTCATTAAAAAACTCATCCATTTGAACTACTCTAACAATTGCATTTCTAGCGTATTGCAATTCTTCGGTTTTAAGGTAACCCTTAATCCTTGTTGCGGTAGATTTAGCTGAATTATTCGCAAACCGAAAACACCATGCGATGATTCTTTTAAGTTTCAAGAATGATGAAACTTCATTAAGGACTAGAATTTGCGAAGCGACTGTTCCAACTGAACAAGAAATATTTTTCCGTTGTTCCTTTAAAGACTCTTCTGAAAATGGTAAGTTGATAGAGAACGGAATATTATTTGAATTAAGCCACTGAGGACCTGTCCACCACAAGTCATGAGTAGAAAGCTCTGAAGGCAAAAGACCTCTTGATGTGCAATCAGCTGGATTCTCCTTTCCTTTTATGTGATTCCAATGCAATGATGGTAAGACTGCTTGAATTTCTGAAACGCGGTTGGCTACGAAGGTTTGCCAGCGTGTTGTGACAGTTTTAATTTTTTTTTTTTTTTTCTGTCAGATTTCATATGTTTAATGCATCACATTTCTTGAAGTGATTAAGTAGGCACTGGCAAATGTCAGTGCATTTGTGCTTGTGCTGTGCAATGTGCTTTCTTGATACCCATTGTGCACCGAATTTCCAGAATCCAAGCTTGCTATAAATGATTGGATTGGCAGCATCATGAGTGATGTTCAAAAATGCTATCTTACTGATGTTAACTCACCTATTCAACAGAATCATTTGTTGAGATTGCAGAATGTTTTCACCCGTGGTGGAGATTAAACTGCTAGCGCTCCTCATGTCAACACTCTATTAGGTAGAAATCAAATGATGCAACTGGTATCCATTTTCAACATGACTGCAGTTCTACTAAGTATTCATATCCAGAAGGCTGTATGACAATTGTGTAGGTAATTTAACTCGCTTTTGTGTACTAAGAACGATCACTAAAAGTTTTCTAAGGAATTGATAGCACGAATATGACTCTGATCAGTGCGTATTAATAAGAATGTTTGATATTTGACTCGAAACTGGCGAGTTCTGTCTAATCCCATGGTTCTGAAACTTTTTGCTCGATTTCGCAGTGTCGGGATATATTCTAATCTTTTTGTATTCAAATAGCATGTTCCTAGTAATACATATGTGAGATTGTAGATGCTTTATTATATACTGTAAAGGTAGCTATAAATTTAAAATTCATTGAATGTGTATTATCTACATAGAGTACTTATAATGAACTAATTAAAACTAGGGTGATTTGAATAATTAAGGTTTTCAGAAAGCAACTTTAAATGCTTATTGTGGCAAAAATTGCTTTACGTTAATTGGTAGTTTATAATTAGCAGTTAAGTTCTAAGTTAAACAACTGATGATACTCTCATGCCTCTAGTAAGCATAACACTTGCTACCATTAGACAATCCAGTTTCATTTATTTCATTTCAGTCATATGCCACCATCTTTGTCAGCATCTGATGGCTTTCAGTAAATATCACGATATTTTTAGAAATATTTATTTTGTCTCCAATAGAGAATTTGTATTTAGACATTATAGAATAATGAGGGTGCACTTTTAGTTTTTATAAACTATTTATTTATAATCATAAAATGTATTATATTACAGAGAACTGCAATACCAGCTTAGTTCTATTTTCATATCTGTATCTCAAGTGTTGCCAATTACAAGTTATTAAATATTAGGTGTTAAATGTTGCCATTTACAAATTATTAAATATTACATCTTCCGTTTTTTTAAAGAGTTCAAAAGTTTTTTTTTAACAGTCTAAAATCAGTCCAAATACCTGGCCGGCTTTTTAATCACTCTCCCACTTCTAGTTCTTTGCTCATCGTCCCTTGTTTCTGAGTTAGCAGAATTTGGTAGTTGCTTTTCTAATTTTTGCCCTTGAGAATATCTGGAATCATATCCTTTTCTGTTTTCTGTGCATTAACTCCTTGTTCTGTTCCTCTGATATTATCTTCAACAGCTGAACTGCTTTCTCTAATGTCTTTTCTATTTCTTCTCAATACTGATCCACCTGATCTCAGCATATGTGATCTAGGCGTTTTAAATATTTCTTCTACAACTACTGGTTCCCAGCGATTATCTTGTTATACCCTAACACAATTTCCTTTGTTTAGCGACGGTAGTGTTTTTTGTATGACGATTATAATATGACTTCTGCTTAGTTATTTCTTGGTTGATTTTTTTCTTTTATGTTTTTCACAACTTGAGGTTTTGGTAATTCTTCGGTTGTAGGAAGAATCTTTCTTGTTTTTCTACTTATAAGTCGTTGAGCTGGTGATCCTAG